GCTGTTCTGTATTTGGAGATGGTGTAGGAGTTGCGCATGTATCAACGCCTGGATCAAGCGTGTCCTCCGCAGGAGACTGATTTTTGGCTTCAGGTGATGGTTGGCGCTCCTGGAATGAATTCGTCAACCAAAATTCTTGAAAACCTGCTGGACAAGACAACGAAGCAGCCTTCATAATGTAATATACTCTAAATGCCGTGCTGCAATCGGGCCCATAGTCGGGAACTTTTTATGATTAGAGGGCAGGGGGAGGCGATCCCATGGCTACGGGCCTGGCTGCATTATTAATAAAAAAAACAATAGAAAGCATTGTTAAACCAGGCTATAGCAGTCACCAAGCTTCATGTTCTAGCATACTTGGTTTAACCAAGACACGTAAATAGATTTGAAAATGGCGACGTTAAATTTTGCCGATTTATAATGACATACGGTCATTCTTACTTCTGCGAAATTGCAACTTTGCTCTCGTTGACCTGGATGTACCAATTCCTTCCCATTGTCAAGGAACCGCAGTGCGTTGAAAATTTTTATTTGCCATTTTATATATTATCAGCCGGTTGACCACTCCTTGTGTGCATGGTTTTTTTCTTTTCATCTCTGAAAGTTCGCCTTTTGTTCTTGAGAAAACGTTTCTGTGGATCAGAAAAATAATCAAGTCAATAGACTAAAACAAACAACTTTGAGTCCACTGCAAAGGAAAAAAAGAAAAGAGAATATAGCGCTTGGCATGACTGTCAATCAAGTATTTTCTGCTTTTTTATGGTTTGTCTAAGGTTATATCGTACAACGCGAATGCTTAGTTTCTCCACATTAGAAACAGTGAATTTAAGTTAAATAGGGAGCATTTCACAGACTTATGTTAGAATTATAGAGAACTACATGCCAGGCCTGATTTTAAAATCTGCCTTCTATCCCCTCTTTTTTTTCCCTTTAGTTATGGCACCTGCGGAAAGCCTCAACCATACAATGAAGCGGAGCGCTGAAGAATTTTTTCACCCCTAGCCATAAATACCAGCAAGCTTTCGTCTTGGAAGGGGAGGGGAGGTCAAAGCCACGTTGCGCCTTGAGTGGAGGAGAAAAGCGCTGGTGCGAGATGCAGGCGCGGTGTTGTGCCTGGTTTGGCTCGCCACCACAAGCTTTTTTTTTTTTTTTTTTTTTTGCTGAGAGGAACTCACTCAAAGCAACATTCCTGGTAGTGTCATTGGCAAGGGCTTTTTTTTTTTCAGCTACGACATTGCTCACAGCCTCTCTGAGTCGCCAAATACTACTATCGAGTCGGCAGATAGAAATTTAAATAAAGTATCTTTTGATGTAGGTTGCCTTTCAGTGAACGAAGGAATTATGCGGTCATAGCATTTCTCTCATGAGAACAACCGAAAACGAAAGTGATCTAGCCTGTTGATATTTGACAATTATTCCATCAGGCTGAACAAGCAGAGCAGTAGCAACAGCAGTAACAACAAAAGCGGGTTCTGTAAGAATTCATGTCAGATTAACCACTTTAAAACAAAATTCAATATCACTGACGTTTCGTATATGACCCATAGAGAGGGTAGCGCTCCTTCATTTCCTTGACCATCGTCTTCCACACACCATTCTTCAGATTAGTCTTACTATAATCATTGGACGAGATGTCCCACAAACAAGTGTATTGTTTCACCAGAGAAAAGAAAAAAAAAAGTTGCTTCGTCGCTCATTTTCGTCATGACGGTGCCTGCAAGTCTAGAGCGTAATTTGGAAAGGCCGCCGCTATCGTATTTTGCAGCAGAGAAGGCTACAATGTGGCCAGAGACCAACCAGAAATTCCGCTACATCCCCCGCTCCATGGCGATCGTTCGACCAGTCGGAGAAACGATCCCCGCCTCCCCCAAAGAGCCGCGAGGAGGTCGTGTCGACACACTAATCCGTGACATCATTATGACGTGATGCGCCATCCTCGCCTCTCCTCCGAGGATTTCTCTCTCGTGTGAATCCCGCTTATGTCGCGGGGAGGAGGAAGAGAGGATCATACGTCCTGGCTGGCCTCGGGCTTTACCTGGAACGATTTTGTTGTAGTTACCGGGCGCACAAAGGTCACTGCAATCATTGCAGTCTCCGTTTGCAAAAAGCGCGCGCTTTTTTAGACACAGCAAAGTAACAACTGAGACGCTTATTTGCATGCATCTGTACTTGTGAGTATGTTTCGTACGTCATTTGTGTGTGAGAGATTTGGGGCACATTTCGATCTGCTTTCCATTCTGCGCGTGACCTTCCAACTTGTTGCTATCGCATTCATTGCTTCGTCTTTGTGGCAGAGCTGGGACTTTTTTATTTCCACTGCATGGGTACATATGCGTGGTTTGAAAAATGAATTTTTGTTGCAAGTCAGTGCTCTCTCTGTGTCTTTCTTTGTCTGGTTTCTAGTCTTTCGCGCTGTTTTCTTCCAATATCTCGTACCAACGTGCAGTTGAATGGCATGCGTATTCAGTTTTTCACGGGACAACCAAACTCAATGATACATGCAATCAGTAGTATGAGTCGCAGCGCAGGTACCTCGAAAACTGTTAAGGCCTTGTCTGTAGCAGTTTAGCAGCGCAACGTGAAAGTGCTAGCACCTAGCGGAAAGGCCTGTTACACATTAGCAGTAGCCTTCTTCAACCCTGGGCTCACTAGAGAGGTTCTTCAACTTGAAGCAAATCTGATGCAGTTTGCCGAAGAGGCTCGATATTTGCCCGCACAGCCCAACCATTTCCACTGTTTCACCAGTGAAATCCTTTATGTCAATAATTATGAATGAAGCGGTTCGCGGCCAGCATCCTTTCGCTTCGACGAAGCCATGCGATCTGACGCCACAATCAAGAAACTTGAGCACAGTGCCAAGCAAAAGGGCCGCGTTCGCCCTGTTAGGCGCAGCCATCTTTGTTATTTTGACCAGTGTTGGCATCACACGGAGCGTTTTCCGGAGTCGCAGATTGATAGAAATATGCGCGTCAGGTTTGATTTTTTTCATGTTGAGAATAAAGACTTGCTCGCTCCTCCTCCAACTAAGTAATGCTGTCATTAGCTGCCACTGGCTAGAATAATTTAATCAACTTTCCTTGCAGAGGCACGAGGTCGTGCTGTGGGCTTATTTAGGCGGTCCGTACCTGTTTTTTTAAGCAAGGCTTAGTGTCACTGCCTCTAATCTTGGTTTTTTTTTTATTATATGACACCCAGATTATACGACGGTCTTGCATGGTCCCCTGCAACTCCTATAATCGAGGTTCGGCTGTATGTTGATATGCTGATTTCATTACGAGTGTTCATGTCAAAGGAAGATTATTTTACTTGATGAGTATAGCCACGTGCATCATCTTTATGTGCTCGAGGCCTGCATTGATGAATGGTGCAAATGAAGGAAGAGCTTCAGCTGCGTACACTCAAGTCTCGATGTAATGAACCCAGATACAGTTAAACCTGCTTATAACGAACTTCCGTATAACGATTTCCTCGGTATGAAGTTTTTCTATTCCCCGTCATTACTGCATAGAAGCACATGTATTTGTGACCTCACAGTAACATCTTTGATATAACGAGTTTTTGAAACGGACAATCTCGAAATTTTGGCTCTTATTTTGCCATTTTAGCACGAGCGTGCATCGTCCGTGGTTGCCTCACTGCGACAAAACGCAAAGCGGCGGAAGCGCGCATGGTGCACTTGTGGCCCTGGCGACTCTCAGGCGAGAGCGAGCGCTCGGTACTGCGGGCGGGTGTGCGCGAGGCGGGCAGGTAGACCTGCGCCTCAAGAGCCGGCGTTGTCGCCGTTCTTGCCACCATAGGCCCATGTGTGGACTGTGCCCTTCTCCCTCCCTCTAAAGCAAGAACAAAAAAAGAAAATTAATTTTGCGTTGGCAGTGCCACGCTTCAAGTTAGCGTCACATATGTCGGACTGCGCTGCATATGGAGGGTGCTTTACTGAATAGTTTTCTAGCAGTATCCGTGTATTCATGTCGTTTGCATCTTCATTTGTGATGCCGTGTGTGCATGCATGGTTTCCATTGTGCATGCATGGTGTGGCCTCCAAGGATGTTAAGTTTTGCTTTGCTTTTTCTCTCGCTCCCCCCCTCCCCCCTCCTCAAATGCGGACCACTGTGTCGTCACTACCAAGGAGATGTCAGATTATGAGTTGATTGAATCTCTCTGACACCACGGTGACAATGACGAATCTTAGGAGGTCGACTCGTCATGGGCTTCCATCTTGCGCCTCGAGTTCGCGAAACCGTAGCTTTTGTTATTCACTTATTACCTCTGGCAACAACACGACGGTGCAGTTGAATGCAATAGCAACAAATTATAATGTGTACAAAGTAAGGCTGGCAGCCAACTCTTTTGGATCCAATATTGCGAAAGTCCTACAAAGTGTTAGTGTAAGCAAATACGGCTTCGCCAGGAACAAGTGCTCTTTTCACACAGTCCCTTCGTGTTGAAAGCGCACTGATGCTTGCCGAGATAGCACGCGTGCCAACTATCGTGACCGTGCCTTTACAATCGGTATTCACTGTTGCCACACGAGCCCCCCTACCTGCGTTTTTTCATGGTCGTTCGAGATGGGTGGTTTTCTTTCTATTTGAACATTCAACGGCAGTTCTAACACACGCGGGGCATGTTATCCTATGCGCCCTCCAGGCAATAGAGATGGGCCAGCTCATTTGATCTTTGCTTAGTGTCTGTAAAAGCGCGCAAGCCTTTTTACAGACATCACGGAGAGGCAAAGCATATCGGGCTTCTAGTGGTGGAAGAGAAACAATTTCCTTTCCCATTTTTGTGTTGTTTATCCACTGCACTATCTATGCCTGTAGTGCAGTGTACTGAGAAAGATACTGTCCTTGTATCAACGCACCTGTGACATTCAAATCAGGCTGTTAGAAATTAGCCAGATTTTGCAAATAAATGAAAAAACAAAACTGGGCCACCCGACGTGGAGCACGCAGTTTGCTCTGTTTGTTAATTTTGTGTGTGTGGTGGTTCCTGGGTGTTTGCAGAGCGTGGGTACTGCATGCGTGGCGACTACTGCCCCTTTGACCATGGCAACGACCCCCTCATTGTGGAGGACGTGTCAGTACTACGCTTTGGCCTGTCAGGGCCGCCCCCGCCCCCGCCACCCAACTCTGCCTTGCCCCCTCAGCCAGCACTGCCCCAAGGTGAGGCCACAGGAGCTGCACACATGTTTCCTAGTTGTACTCTATTTTTCTGTTGCCTCTCTCTCAGTTTGGCTGAAGCATGGAGTTTCTTAATAATAAAGTGGAGGGAAATCTGGCACTAGGGTCTTTGGGAGCTGCAACTCAATGCAACTCCGTGTGGCTTTTGGTGACCTACAGCTGTTTTGTTGTAAGATGAAGTTCACTATGTTCAGCAAAAGTTCAGCTGTCCCACTTGGCCACGTCACTGATTCGAGTCAGCTCACGAGCCACACAACAATGCACAAAGCCGCAAGCACATTCGTAGCTACATGCGCAGAGACCAGGCAAATTCATGTAATACTAACTCTCATTCCCACAGTGGCTGAACAATCTCGGAGTCAGTGCTCCCTCTAGTAAATATTTTAGGAAGCTCTATAGGGTGAGGTATCTGTAATCTTCTATGGCCCATGCCTTGTGCAAAATAGACGTGGAGCATTGTTGATCCGGCAGGGTGTTTGAGAGTTGGAACAACCGAGATTCGTCTTTGTTAAATCCCAGCTTGAGTGGTGCGAGGTGCTTGCTTTTAGCTTTCTCATACCTTTAAATTGTAATGGAACGTGCTTTCCCATGTAAGAGCTACACTGTTGAACCTAAGTGTCTAAAGGGAAATAAATTGTCCTTACCTTGCCATAGCGATAACAAAGCATGCATTGAAGCATTTATTCAGCCGCAGTTGTGCGATGCTGTATACACATTATTGAAGTGGGATGTAGAAGCATACAAAGCTCATTTTGTATCTTTACTGGAGTACTTAGCAGAAAGCTTGCTGATTTTGAAAGTTGATGTCATCACAAATTTTGTTTTTCTCCATCCTGCAGCCCAACCAATCACACTTTTGTCCCACTTTGCTTTTTTGTAGTGACGTATCTTTTGATGCAAGCCACCATGATTGTATGCACAGTAGTGTACACTGTGCAAGTTCCGGTGCGCTGAGCACAAAATCTCTTCACTGGCTGTAGGGCATACATTTGTACTAAGTTGGTCACACTCATGTCGTTAACATTTTACTAGGTAACAGCAATCATTGTTTTCCTTGACACAACACATTGCTGAGAATACCTCCATGTTTGAGCAGTGTAAGCTCCCTGCATTATGCATAAATTATGAGCAGTTAATTAGATGAAATATTGCAGGAACCAATGTTCCAACAATCGTTTGAATGCTGGCTCTAGCGACATTCTTTGTTCAACTCATCACTTCAAGCAAAAATCTTGATCGCATTACAGAAATGTACTTTCAATGGCTGATTGATTCCCTTCTCGTTTGTTGTATGCATGTAGCTTTTGCATTTGCACTGTGTCTGTGGAAACCATACTTCTGAGCTGTCCAGGCTCATGCAGCCAGCTCTTGTTTGCCCCGTGCCCCTCAGAGCAAGGGACCTATCGGCTGAAATAATCCATTCAAATTCCTCGCCGTAGCTTTTGTCACTGATCATAGCTTAGTTGGCTTTATCTTTTTAATGCAATATCCTGATAAAGCAGAGTCTGGCTCTGATGATGACGTAGCAATCAAGGCTAATGTAAAGTCTTCCCTCTGTCATTCTGTGCAGCCTTCAAGTACCGCTGCTTCCCAGTATAGATACTGATTTACTCATACTTATGCACTGGTTGCACACTAGAAATTCAGACCCAAAGTTGGGAAGCGCAGCCTTGACATGAGAACGTATGAGGGGCATTTGTAAGGTTCCTGTTGCCAGCACTGGAAAGTCAGAACTGTCATTCAGAACATGCATTGAACTGAGTGCACATCCCTAGCTTAAGGGCAGGAAGCAGATTGGTGCTTTTTGGAATGCACAGGATTGGAAGATAGTATGGCCTAAGAGTAGAATTTCTTGCAGAATTTTCGCACTCAGAAGAATGATAATGCTGGCCAAGTGCGAAAAAACATAGCATTTATGGCAGTTTTCGTGTTTTTCTGCCTGTGTTTCATGTTTCGCTGTTTCATTGATTAAGGCATAGTTGTTTGGGGAATATTGTATTACAGGTGCTTTTTTTTTTGCCATACCCTCTTACTTGCACTCTATACCTGCCAAGCCATTAGAGAATAAGTGAAAGTGAAGAGCTAGAAGACAGATTTCTTTGGGCTAGTTGGTTTGTTGCATCTAGTGAAGCCATAGCACTGAATAGACAGGGATCAAGAAAGAAAATTTGTAAGTAGCACATGACCTGGCATCATCCTTGGTTCCTCCCTGTCTTCGCGCTCCATACCTGTGACTGTGACACCGTTTACTCATCGTTACCTGCAGCACACTTATTAATGCTTGCGGCTGACAGAAACAAAAAGCGTGGGCAGCAAGAGGAGCGTATTAGTGACAAAGGAAATTGGAGTTATTTTGCTTGCAGTTACTCTAGAAAATGAAATTGTCTACCGTGTCAGCTGCCACCATACACAAAAACAGTTGTCTTCAGAGAATGTACAACTCTTGTCCTATGCGAACCAAAAGGGTATTTGCAGGGGTTGTTTTTACCATGATCAAAACATAGTGACTTACATCAGTGGCATTTTTGTTAATCATGGCAGTTTGTGTGTGTGTGTGTGTGTCTGTGTGTGTGTGTGTGTGCGTGCATGCGTGTGTGTGTGATCCAACAAGTGTGTAATGTACATGAGGCCATGCCTCTTCTGCATGACTCTTTTTGAGTGACGTCCGCGGCACTGTTGGAAATTCTTTGGTGGTGGGTGTCTTCTTCCTCTCTCTTTCTTTCTCTCCGTCTCTCTCTCCGGTGGCTGTTCAGCAGGTGTGCCCTCTCTAGCCCAACTGCAGCAGGTTCTGCCACCCATGGTGGGCAGTGGCCAGGAGTCCCTGCCATCAGCCGCAGCAGCAGCCGTCGCCGCAGCCGCAGCCGGTCAGTGCGCTCTCTGCTGCTGCCGCTACTCGCAGACAACGTCCTGTGGCATTCACTGTGATTGCCAAGTGACTACAGAATTCTAACTTATTAATGGCGCTGGAGAACTCAAAGCCAGAACTAACCATGTAACCTAATACAGTCAAATCCTTTTATTACAAAATCCTCTACAACAAAATTTTTGCCACAACAAATAATTTTAGATTCTCCGGCAGCCGTTTACAGAAAAAACAATTTAAAAAAAAAGTCGTTTCAATAGACGCTTTTTCTAGATACTTACGCTTCAACGAAGTTTTTGTGAGTTCTACCATATGAAAGGAACTTGCCAAAATTGCTGTGAAATTCGGCTAGCAACTCGACAATTTCTAGTTTTCTCGTGACCTCCAGAGCTGTGTAGTTGTATTGCAACAACCGTGTCGACATTGGAGGTACACCTTCTACCATCACACACACATCACGGCGAAGTTTTCACCATTGAGATGATTGTCGACAGATCACCTATCCACCATGAAGCAGCCGAAGGGTGATGCATTTGCAGGCCACTGTAGAATTTCTCTTGTAGAACTTTCTAAGAAGTTTTATCATAGCGCTCAAAACAACACTACCGCTCGTCGTCACTAGCACTGTGACTGTGAATGAGAACCACGGTTTTATGAAGGCACACGCGTGACCAGCGTGCACATAATATGAGCATAACTAAATTCTGCCGCAACCACTGCAAAGACAAATGCAATTGAAGTTGCTATGAGGTTACCCATGGAAACGCGCGAGTGCGCTAGGAGACATGTAGCCAGAATCAATAATATGAGAATAAGGTATTGTTCAGGTATTGTTCAGGGCATAAGGTATTGTTCAGGGTTGAAGGGTATTGTTCAGAGTAAAATTGTCAGTACTAACATACCTGCAATAGCTGCAGTAAAACAAAAATAGAAAGGAAATGCACAGAGTGGTCTAAATATTCTTGAATTTTAGGCAGGTAAACTGTATCAAATGAAATAAGAGCAGCAAAATGCTGTAGTTGATGTTGCATCTTGGGTTAACGTGCTTTTAACCATACTGTGACGAACAGGGTCTTATTTTCAGACGTTTTCCTCGCATTTATACACAGCGGATAGGCATCGCAGAAAACCTGAGGCAAAACTAAAAGTGAACATTCACATTGTCATGCCTATAACCAGTTCAGTTGGTTTTATAAAATGAATTTCTTTGATACATTCGTGGGTGTGGGCCTGTGCGGTCTGTTGGTGTATGTGCAGTTCATCACCGTATGGTCAAGTATGTGTAAACCCAAGATGTATCAAATAGAGCTGATGCCAGTATTATCTTATAAGGGGGAAAAAAAAGGAACTGCTACAGGATCTTTTGAAAGCAGACCAAGGCTTACAGGCCTCCTATAAAACCAAAACAGCAAGAAAAAAAAAAAGATCCCTAGAAAGCACTGGGTCTTTTGAGTATGCCTCTACTAATAGAGAAACCGGTTTGTTAAAGGGATGCTGAACAAAAATTAGAAAAACTTCAGAAAAACTTGCGAAGCTTTGGAATTCAATTCGGAAGATGCACATGTTCATCTCCTCCTCTTCCCTTTCATCCCACTCTCCCCCCTCCGCAAAAATGCTGATGCTTTACCCCAGCCAGGAGCATTGTTCACTACCAGGAAAGATGGGAGAGCTAAGCGGGTCGAGAGATGAGGGCAACAGCTAGAATTGTTGCCTTGCCTGTTTCAGGCATATATGACGTTGCCTTCTCTAGTTCAAGGAGCGGCCGCTAGACGTGCCTGTTGGTGTAAAACCTGTTAAATTTATTATCTTTCTGTAGTTTCTGCCTGGAATGAAGGTTGTCTCTATCGGTTCGATTACCGAATCTTTCAATTTGGTTGAAAATATTGAGGGCAAAAATTTAGTTCAGTATCACTAAGGTTCTTTATAAACTTGGCTACTTAAAGAAGCCGTGTGACACAATTTGAGCAAGTCTTTTTCATTGTCTCTTCTGGTGCTGTGGCACGCACCAATAACGTTGTGCAAGTGTCGACGCCAAAATCGAACGTGAGCTATTTTTATTGTGGGAAGTGACATCTTGTCATGTGCCAGTGATGACAAAGGTAGTTTGTTTTTTATTGGCTTGACGTGACAAGTACACGCAAATTTTATATGGTGATAGCTGGACCATACGAGTGCATGGTAAAAACAGTAAAAACCCTTTTCTTGCTCAGAAATAATTAATTTTTGTCTCTAAATGATGTATTTTTAGAACAACTAACATGACACTTAGTCGGGGAACGCAACTATGGTACGCCAGCAACTAGAGGTCGAAACGCATGCGGCATTTTTAATGAGCCAAAATTGCGACATGCTGCAGAAGCCGGCATTGTCGTAGAACAACGCTGTCAAAAAGAGCAGTAGCGAGGTGCTTTGTGGAGGCCACCATAAGGTGACATTTCCGGTATGTCTTCATGAGACACGCACAGTGATTTGAAGTGGTCTTTGATGTCAGCAGGAGAGTGAGGTGTGAAAGGGGATATTTCTTGTCATCGTCTGCTTGAATTTTTAACACTGAGGACTCGTAACTTCAGTTTTCATGCACCAATTCGCATCATAGTTGCATTCATCTCGGCAATCATTACTGCATTCATTACTGCAGGCTGTTAATAAAATGTCATGGGGCCCCTTTAAGGCTCTTCAACGCTGCTTGTGCCAATGATACAAGTTCGTGCCAATTGCACCTTATGACGAGTGAAGTCATTACGAGGGAACATGCCCTTTTCACAAGTTTCAGTGGTACCAGAGGAAGTGGTGCCCACCTCCTCTGGTACCATTTTCATAAGTTTCAGTGGTACCAGAGGAGTTAACATAAAGTTGGCCAGGCTTTTATTTGTCAGTCATCTGTAAAAATGGTCAGCAAATGTAGTCGTAGTACTTCGAGGGAAGTGTGGGAAAAGTTGCTTCTAGACTGGTATGCATAAAAAAATTGTCTCAAATTAAGCCTATCATGTATGTCTTCATTATGGGAAATGGTGCAACTGACTAGACAGCTTTGTGTGGTGGCATATGTATAACTCCGATTGGGACCTATAGAGGGCGCCTTGAAAGCTGCGCACAGCGCCACTTCTGGTGTCGTGGGCATGCAACATTGAGAGCCCTAGCAGACAGCTGCGCCTCATTGCTTTGATAGCTATGGTGGCACAAGTGCCCATGGCCGGTGCGTTAGTGCTTCTATAGCAGAATCTGAAGATATCTTGGGGTGGACATTCCTCCGCGTCGCCGCCATGAATAAATGGGAAAACCTGCACGAAGGCAGTGATGTTTTCCACGTTAGTGAGCGCCTTGCTATATTCATCGTCAGTACTGACAGCTAAATGCACGAGTCAGGTGCAAGATGCTTACTTCATAACTGTCGTGGGAAGCTGTCATTCTTTCACGCTTAGAATATCATTGGTGTGTTCCCACTACCCGCACACTTGCAAAACACTCAGAGCATTTAGAAATATCGATGGCTTCGCACCCACTCGCCGTGGGAATCATGGTGAGTAGCCGGGCTGCATGCTTGGTTGTGCCGGCTTCGTGCCACGACGATTTCGGGCCACCGAGTCTCGCGAAGTGCTTTGTTTGAAATCATCACCATTCATCGTAAACATCGCTTTTACCTCGCTGCTCGTGCTAACAGCTTGAGGCCGGGGTTAGAAGAAGAACATGTTACGATTTCGGCCAGAGAGGACGCCGCAGGCAGGTTTAGTCTTTTGCTTCACCTTGTATAATGGCGGCGACGACGGCATGGTCACTTCTGCCACCATCACATTGCTGCTCTCATTGACTACAACCTCTTACATTGTTTATGTTGCTTACCGAAACAAACACTGACATGTACATCCGTCGTTACTGCCTTCATAAAGCTTCGTTTATCATGTAGTTCTGCTACTCTCTGCCCTACATCATTTCTTCCAATGCCCTGCACCAATCAAAGAAAAAGACTTCTGGACGAACCTCTCTAAATGATGTAATTCAATTCATCAATTACCGTGGTTCTTTCTTTTGGGGTACACGGGGGCTACAGCACTGGGTTATAGCCATGGGAGCATTTGTGATGCTGTATGCAATTTATTACGCTAGACGAAACAAATTCAATGCAAAAGATATTCGAAAGAAGCTTGTTCTTTAACAACATCAGTCTTTCTTTTTCGTGAATTAAGCGAATTAGTTATGTCGAAAACGATCTATTGCTAGACATTTTGAGATTATAAACAAATTCATTTATATAACAAGGCATTACCCATTTCATGGTCGATCACCCATAGTAGGTCGCACTAGTTTAGTAAGGGTCAATCAACCAGCGTCTTAACGTGATCCTACCGGGGGCCCTTAGTGCTGCTGGGGTTTATGGTAATATACTATGTAACTCAGTTTGCCCTTCAACTAATGGTCTTATTGGTCTTATAAACTCAACAAAGCAATAATTGATATTACATTGTATTTCCCAAAACTATGAAGGGTAGATGGCAAGTTAATTATTAAAGTTCATTAAAATGTTCATCAGCCTTGAGTGGAATTGAAATGCACTCAATACAATTCTTTTCTCACCACCTGTATGGCAGCTGGAACATCACGTAAGATCATTGCACCAGCAGAGGTGTAGTCTCAGACGAATTCAAGCATGCAGCGGCACAACGCCAGATGGCAGAGGGAGTGAGAACCAAACACTTTTTACGTCGCATAGCCGTGGTCAGCTTATTTCACTGCCCAATAAAGGAGGAATGAGTTGAGAAGCTGTAAAACGTCGTTCCCGTAGGACATGACGTGTACATGATTTCGATCAACGGTGTGCTGGCTAGCGTTTGGTTCTGCTAGGGCTCTCAACGGGTGTCTGCTCTGACGGCCGTGCAGCGGTGCGCCAGTCGCAGTGCAAAGAGTGGGATAGGGTAGATGGGTCTGTGTATACATGGCCATTTGCGAGATGCCCTGGTGCCGAAAGGTAGCAACAGTTCAGTGATCCATTGCTTCAACTGCAGGTGCAGCGGTGACTTGCACTATACGCATATCATGCACAGCTACCACCACAATAACTGTGCTCAGAAAGTCGATGAGGTGTATTGTGGGGTCTTGATGGAATGGTTCACCAGCACTTGCATTAAATGACAAACGAGACTAACCATTTACGCAAATTGAATGATGAAATTTCAATAATAGGGTGGGACACAAGTTCATATTTTTGTCTTCTCTCGGTCATGCATATGTCTGGGCTTACCAAAACAAACGCAGTGGTTGGTAGTTCTTTCTCCTGCTTTCTCCCTCTTGTACAGGTATTTTATCACGTTGTTTCTTGTAATGATGGCATATGTTTGCGAATTATTGCTTTTTGTATATGATAGTTGGTTTTTAGCTTGGTGTTTTCTTTCACCTGCAGAGCCGTACAACCCTGAAGCCCCAGGCATGGAGCGTCCCCTAAGAGTGGGTCCGCCCCCTTTCTGGGGTCCACCACCAGTCTTCCACACAGCCAGGACACCCCACAGGGAGCTGATTGGTGTGCCGACCATGCCTCCTTCGCAAGGTGAGTTGAAGCTGAAACTGCTCGGGGCTGTCGCCGAAAGCTGCAGGCAAAGAAACAGAAAGAGGGATAATAATTGTGGAAGTTTCACGTTGTAAAACGACAATATGATTCTAAAGGACACTGCAGTGGAGGGCTCTGGAAATTTTGATCATGTGGAGTTCTTTAAAAGGATCCTGAAACGGCTTTTTGAAGTTTTGTCAGCGTTTAAGTTAGAGCATCATCAAATCGTTCGCACCACAAATTCAGTGACACACTGTGTATCAGGCCACTATGGACAATCATATCATACCCTCCTTCTCACCTCTGTCTGGCCTCCTCAGCGCGCTTGACATTTTCAGCTTTCAGCAGTCTCGACCTCCAAGATCACACACTGACAGGTTGCGCGTAGTCTTGGAGGCCATCACATAGTGCGCCCAGCAGCACACACGCCGCCTGGCAACAAAGACGAAGATTAGGTAGTGTTTCATATCTGCTCCAACAGGTGCCGCCACCCTACCAGATGACCTTACTCAGCACATTCTTGAGCCCATGACAGCCAATCAGATCAGCAGCCACGGTGACGTAGCTGCTGACATGCTCTGGGTTCGTCAATCGGCCAGAGCATGTTGCTCTTTGAATGGGTGGTTAAAAACACGTTTGACCGAGTCGCAACAATGTGCACTGATCTGCAGTGATTGGTAGCGTTAAAGTGTGTAATAAATGACACAGTTTACGCAGAGAGCTCGGATTGGTCTCTAAATAACACTTCTGATTTGGTCTATCAGCCCAATGTGTTTGTGCAGAATCGCCAAAACCATGTCAGGGTCCCTTTAACGTACACTTCAATCTAAGTACTGGGTCCTCCAGCTTTCTGCCTCCATGAAAATGCAGCCCCAGCAGCCTGAATTCGATCCCGCGACCTTTGGGTCAGCAGTTGAGCACAGTAATCATTTAACCACAGCGGCAAAGGGCAGAGAGAGGAATTAAAATAAGGAAGCTGATAACATTTGTTGGCAAAGATGACTAGAATGTAGGGCTTTCCAAAACCAATGCACTGCAACAGCTGCACTATCTTGTAGGTCATGCCTAGGTGCCCTGTTATGGCTGTCTAGTTTATTTCTGAGCAGGATAATTGTGGCATTTTTTAATGGCAAAGCACCTTAGGGTCTCAGTGTGTCTGCGTGCATGTTCCGTTGTTTGCTACTGCTGCTGTCTGCTGCTGTCGATTTGTTGAGTTCAAGAAAGAGACCACCTATTCTTGGCAAAAGATTGTTCACTCTCTCGCCACCACCTTGGGGCTCGCCGCCTGACAAGAGAGAGCAAATGGCAAGCGTTGACTGTGGGAGCGCTCGCTCGCCCGCGAGATACAATGTGCGGCACAACCGTTCACTGGCCACCCCGCGTATATGGGCACTGTATCTTAAGCTGCAATGTAGCGCCAGTGAGAAATTTTTCTTGTGCGTAGTTGAACTATAAAGAATTGCAGAGTGGGGGTCAACTGAAAACAGGCAGCACCCTTTGATCCTCTCTTGGTTTCACATTATAGTCGGTGACAACCTAAGAATAAATATAGGCTCCACCTACGAGGCTTGCTTGCCCTTATTTTCCATGCCTCCGTGCTACAAAGGAAGTAGTTCTCGAACAGTGCCCATAATTTTCACACATGCAATCATTACCTTACAATACTTAATTGGTGTTGAAATACGGAATTCAAAGCTCGATAAATAAACGTGAGAAGGCACGAATTCCGTGTCAGCTTAGCAATATATCTGTTGTTTAAATCGCACCCCCACTGCGCTCATCTCGGAGTCCACGAAGACACAATGCATATTTCTCGAAGGCGATATTTTTGCGATGTACCTAAGGTTGTACTAAACAAACAGTGCCACATTCAACGTAATGTTTAAAATTAGGAAATTGTTCTTTTGCAGTTTCACACAATGAAATAGGGGCACTAATCACATTTTATTAAGTTATTTGCAATATTTTTACAAAACATTTGCTGCCAGGTTTCTTTGCTGTCTTCTGTAACCGTGGCAACTCTAATTCAAAGCGAAGAGTAGAGAAGTGATCTGAGAGACTGAGATTGACTTCGTGAATTTTGATTTTTGTGCTGCCTTAAATACCGAATGTGCGTTTCGCGTCGCCGTGCTTGTCATCATGTTTGAGGTAAATGCCAATGTTTCATTCGACATCTTGTTCCATCGAAATAAAAGCGCGTAGAAGACATTATGCTTAAGGGGGCAAACTGGTCTTTGGGACGAACAAGTGACAAAAAAAATTCATTTTTTAAAAATGACGTATTTGGTTTCTGCAAGTATTTATCTCTCTGCAAGTTTTTACACACCAGGAAGTGTTAATTGTTTTGTAATGTCATTCTAAGTGTCCAGATTCTTGCTGCTGTTAACATGCAGAACCTGCAAAAAAATTGGGAACCGAATTCGAGGCTTCTTGATAATTTGCCAGCACCTGTGTTAGAAGCTTTGCTACAACTTTATGAGCATTCTTATGAGGATTGCAAAACATGCGCAACATGATTGTTGCTTTTTCAAAAAGCTGTGTGTTTTCAGTTTTTTTCTTTCTTTTTTTTTAAAGTAAATTTACAACTGTTCGCCTTGCCGTGGTGGTCTAGTGGCTAAGGTACTCGGCTGCTGACCCGCAGGTCGCGGGTCCGAATCCCGGCTGCAGCGGCTGCATTTCTGATGGAGGTGGAAATGTTGTAGGCCCGTGTGCTCAGATTTGGGTGCACGTTAAAAGAACCCCAGGTGGTCGAAATTTCCGGAGCTCTCCACTACGACATCTCTCATAATCATATGGTGGCTTTGAGACGTTAAACCCTACATATCCATCAATGACATTTACGACTGTTCAACTTTGAGGCCTCAATATCTCTGCAGCTAGGGTAGGTACAACAATAATTCTTTTTTCAATGGAAGCCTGTATATGTGTATAATAATGCCAGTATGGGAGCAGAATTTAAAGCACAAGCCTTTTCAGTTAAATACTCATAAAATTGTTACACAGTTCCAACTGCTTTTAAAAATACATAGTTCATTTTGCTGCAAAATAAACCAGAAAAGCCTAAAAACAAAAAAAACTTTTGCATACTTTCAATCTATAGTCATTAGTCTATGTTGGCATATCCTAAATATCACATTTAAATTAAGCACTTTTTTTTTCAATGGCGCCCTTAAACAATAGGGGGTGAATTTAATTTATCTCAGGAACAAGATGAGTTACAGGAAAAATAATTATTTGAAATCAGCAGAAAAAACTGCAAGCTTTTTTTGTTTTTAGGCCTTTCTTGGCAAAGTGAACTATCCATTTTCAAAAGCAGTTTAAATAGTGTTACAATTTTAATGAATAATTAATTAAAAAGGCTTGTGCTTTAAGTTCTTCTCCCATACTTGCATTCTACACACATACAGGTTTTCATTTCAAAAATAATTATTGTTGTACCAGCCCTAGCTACAGAGATATTGAGGCCTCGAAATTGAACAGTTGTAAATTTACTTTTTTTTGGGAAAAATTGAAAACACAGCTTCTTCAAAAAGCAACAATCATGGTGCGCAGGTTTTGCAATCCTCATAAAGGTGCTCATAAATTCGTAGCAGAGCTTCCAACACAGGTGGCGACAAATTATAAAAAAGCCTTGAAGTCGATTCCTCATTTTTTTGCAGGTTCTGCATGCTAACAGCACCAACAATCTGGGCAGTTAGAATGACATTACAAAAAATTACCACCTCCAGGTGTGTGAAAATTTGCAGAGAAATAGAAAAATACTTGCAGAAACCAAATATGTCAATTTTAAAAAATGAATTTTTGGTAACTTTTTGGTCCCAAAGACCAGTCTGCCCACTTAAGCAAACTGTGCTTGAATAGGCTATTTGCACTAAATAACAAGCTGGATTGACTTGTCCAAATTACATAGCAGGAAAGCTAAATTTACAATTTTCAAAAGGGCCTATAGATGACTGAACAGATTCGGTTTTAATAAAGTAGCGTTTGGGTCACATTTTCTTGTAGGTGTGTCTACTGCTGCTTTTACAACAATGGTGCTAATTACAGTAGGAATTGCAGAATTTTTTTTTTGTAGTAACAGTTATATCATGTTCAGAAAAAAGGCTTCATCTAGAATCAGTTAGCATCGCTGCTGGCAATTCATAAGCAGTTTTACTTTTTCTTTTCTTCCACGACAAAAATTGTAAATGCAACCTATTGAGTCCCTTACATGTACTAAGGTATACATCTGTGACCGCATTATTCTCAAATCAGCTCCAAAAAACAACAAACACGAAATATTACGGAATGAGTGCACATTTATTTGAGGAAGAGCGTGATCTGTACTGAAGAGTTCAGCTCAACTGCCTGCTGCTTGTGCACTTCAAAGCATCGCCGTTGGGTACAGATTCCTCGGCATCGGTTCGCGTGTTCTGTTTGAGCATAGTCTTCGGTCTCTTTGTCCTCATCGCCATTTCCTTATCGCAACAGATCGTGTGGATCTTATTGGTCATCGGCTAAGTTGGCGTTCATACTTTGCCGTTGCACTTTGCGTAATGTCCAAGCGTTAATGAAGCATGCATGGGGAGTTTTCTGCGACTTCATTCCTTAGGCCACTTGCATCGCGTTTTTCACTGTCACCGAATTACTTTCGTGCTGCTTCCAAAGCTCAGAGTGAGCTTAAATGGCCAAACTAAAGGCGAGGAAGCAGCCACTAAAGGCGAGCACTCAGAGTGCAGATGAAGCTGCCCGACAAAAGAAAGGCAACAAGGCGATTACTGATGCGAAAACAAGTACAGTTGATGGTGATGGCAATAGGGCTCTTGTGCATCTCGATAAGACAAGTGCATAAAGAAATGTGCTCGCATTTTGATGATGATGATAGTATGATTTATGGAGCTGGGCATTGTTTTCACTGCCGCTAGTCAAGTTTTAATTTTGCTATTGATTATTTAGAAATTTTGGGGAAATACAAGGATGTTAAGATTTGACACGTTGTTCTGAAATTCTTAGTAGTGAAATATTTTCACATTAAACCAATGGACATTTGGAGGAGGGTTTTCGAAATAGTTGTTAATCTGGTTTAAAGAGATTTGACAGTATACCAGTTTAAGTAATGTATGGCAGAGGACTTCCTCATAACTTTCTAGTTTTACAGTGAAAGCTGTGTATGGCTAGCTGAAACAAAAAAAAACTGTTCGTCGCTACAAATGATAAACGTATCCATTGGCTGCTCTGTCAGTTATGTCTTTCTCTACGTTGCACCTAAGCACGCGCACATAAGCTTCAACGAAGTGGCTTTTAAAGAAAGAAAAAAATGATGAATAAAGTGCAGCGTGGTCTCTCAGGTGACCTCAACAGTGCTGTGCAGGGTGGGGAGGGGAAGAAAAAGGAATGAAGGAGAGAACAGAAAGGGATGCGATTGGAAAAAAAGTAATTCGGCTCTGCACTTCTTGCGCGTGCGTCGCCTCTCAGCCGAGAAAAGCTGTCAAGCAGGTCGACAGGCAAAGGGGTGATGTGAACAAACGACACAAGATGGGATCATAGGCGCAAAGGAGTTTGGTGTCGCAGGAAGGTGTGAACTTACAACTTCCTTATCGGGAGGGTACAGAGCGAAACAAGCACCCGAGCAGCCAACAACTTTCCAAGAACTCCAAGAACAGCCCCGAAGCTGATTCATGAGAAAATTCATGTTCCCTAGGTTGATGCTGCAGTATGGGCACAAAAACAAGCACAGGGGGTGAAGCACAAGTAGCAGCTGTGCACTGAGGATCTGGCACTGCTTTGAGCCGAATGTCAACGAAAATGGCGAGCAGAGGCAACAGCGTTGGGGGCAGAGCAGCGTCAAAAATGGCGGAAATGCGTTCACTGGGCCAGATGCCCACTTTTGGCGTGAATTTCTCGAGCAGCACTTTGGCTCTTGCTGCAATGTCTGCAAGCACCTATGGCCACACGTTTCAGCTTAGCTGGTCAACTATCTGTACGGAGTGCTTGGGGGTGATTTTTTTGTTATTGTGATGCAGAAAAAGTTCCTAAAGTCTGTTCAATGAGGTCTTTCAGTTTTCTTGGAACACTGTGAAGTCCATCTTTACGTATTTACCATTAACCAATGAACTAGAACCAAGTAGATGTCGTCGGGATTCCACGACATTCACAATGAGTTGATGTGTGGAAATTTAAAGAATGTGCTAGCACGCATCATTCCCATGACTTGTCCAGCTTACAGGAGCTGCTCTCTCACCTGCTGATGTGGTCTAATGGTTATGGTGCTTTACGAGATCGAATCCCAGTCGCCACAGCTGCATTTCAATTGAGGCAAAAATGCCAGATGGCCATGTGCTCAAAAAAAACTTTACGGTAAGGAGGTCCAAACGGTTGAAATTATCGGAATAACTGGCATTTCTCAAAAATTATAGCGTGGTTTTGAGATGTAAGACCCCCAAAATTATTATTATGAGGCTGCTGTCTCAGTAGCAAGGGCATGCTTGACAGTGTAGAATTATAATCAGTACAGCTCAATGTGCTTTACTATCATCGTTTTGCCTTAATGGTAATGACTTCGATGCAGCCGACATGAGCCAACCTCCTCCACCACCACCTCCACCCGGGTGCTCTGTTCTTGGTCCGCCATTGGGTCCTCCACCTCCGGGCCTTGGGCCTGCCGACGAAGGGGGCCCACTGTCTGCTGCCCCTCCCCCACCACCACCCCAGGGCCCGCTTCAACCTATGCGAGGGCCTCCGCAACTGCCACCGCATCATCATCATCATCCTCATCACCCAGGCAGCCCACAGGGTGGGCCACGCTATGGGAGGGGGTCAGTATAGTCTGAAATTTTCTTTTCTGCTCGCACAATGTCTGCAGCTGCAAAAATATTAAAGGATTAGGGAAAACTAGTCGTCCACATGTTCAACACGAAGTCTGTAAGAGAGGCGGTGCTATTACCCCCTGTAAAGCAATTTGTGTCACATTGCACACACGCATCTTGTGGATTAGCCACAGTTAGGTTTAACAGCCACAGAGCAAGAGGTGGCACTGTGCTTGCACGGGGTAAATATAGCGCAAGTAGTGCCAGCAGCTCTCCACCATGTGGAGGAGAGGTTAGGGCGGTGCAAAGTAAACAGCAGGGAGTCCTTTTTGGGGTTTGGCAGAGTCCACGGGCAGACATCTCCTGAAGTAGGACCATGGGTATGATATCAAAAGCCAGTCTCCTATGGACCCCTCGCGATGAGTCAACCATTTGCAATGCTGAATTCGCTGTACTTTATATATGAGTTATGTTGTTTGTGTGCTGTATTGCAATTATAAATCTGACTTACATAAGCATGTTAGTAAAGTATTAGATTCGTCTGGTGAGCTCAGCGATGTAAACGTGTACTAATAATTGTAGACGTGTTTTGTTGTTAGATGTGTGTTTCGAGAGCACAGTTATCATCTTGAGACCCCACAAGTGTGAAAATACCATGTTTGCATTGTTTTTAAAAGCATGCTTAAGGGGCAATCATTTGCTAGCAAAGCACAAGGAGCATTATTTTTAAGCATATTTGTGCTGTTACACTGTTGCTGATAGTAACGCCAGGTTCACAAGGCAGCTTCTTGCCTCCACATTTAGAAATGCTCAAATATCAAAATGCTATATCCAAGGCCTTTAAAGCTCATCAACATTTCGTGACATGCTTAATTATTTTATCAGGTTTCATTTGCAAATGACTAAATGAATTCTTTTTTAGACATTGCTTGCCTTCAATCATAATTCAGAAGTTGCTTCAGTGCTTGTAAAGTCCTTCATATGTGCCTTTTTTGTGTTAGAATAGTGCGACCAAGGCAAGGACAAGGAGGAACGAACGTGACAGGAGTACTTTTCTTGCATTTCGTGGACACCTCCTTCCTCCTACATTTTTCTTTTTCCCAAGTTATTATTGAGCCTTTAGCATAGTCTTGGTGTTTTTACAGCCACATGGAGTGATTACTGCTTTAATTAGCTCTGTGAAATGTTTGAAACAGCCGCATCAACCATGTCCTGTTTGGTCTCTAGGGGAATGCATGGAAGTGGTGGTCGGGGTCGCATGGACTACGGCCGTGGCGGCATGAACAATAGGGCACCCAGCCACTACGACCGGTGTGAACTTGAAGTGCGTAAGGTACCACGAGCTCTCAACACAATCACTCAACTGAACAACCACTTCTCACGCTTTGGAAACATTGTCAACCTTCAGGTGCGTCGTGTTTTGTTATATTTGTTCATTTGTTGAGTCTGTCACAGAGCACCAGGTTGAACATGCGTATCATATGCTGTCATCAAAGATCAAGATGCAAAGTAAATGCAATAGGACACGGAATACATCAAACCCACTTACAGTAAAACCTCAATAATTTGAAGTTATTGGGACGGTGAGAAATCTTCAAATTAAGGGGGGAGGTGGGGATCGAAAGTGAAATTCTTCAGTTTTTGTCGTAGAGCAATGAAATTTGGCATGCTTACTGGAAACTGCGCTAAATGATAAATGACAAAGTTTCATTCAGCTATCTCCAGTAGTTCTGGCATTATAAATTTTTTATCCATCAGTGTACTACCAAACTTGCCCAAAGCCTGGTGTGACAAAAAAACATGGTAGAAGCCTATAGTTGCTCTTATATTTTAGCCATTGGGATGGTTGGTGTCGTGACATTCTGCAAATATTTTTATGACTCTGTTTTTATTTTACAGAGAACATTGTATACATGCTTGTAAATGTGGTCGTTGTCATAATGTGAAATTAGCTTAGGAGTAAAAATACTGAGGTAGTAATTAACAAATATGAAAACGTCACGACATAGAAAATTCACTGAGGAACACAATGCAAAAAACCACATGAAAATCCGTCAAGCCATAGTCATGCAAGCATCGTGGCAAGCTGGACAGTCGGGTCAAAACACGTTTCTGAGAAAACTGGCGTTAAAGTTGAACAGTCAGTAAAGGTCCATCAAAATGCCCCGGGACTGTAATACTTTGTGTCTTTGCTTGCGAGGGTCTTCTTACGTCCTTTCTCTTTCATTTTTTCTGCACTGCGTGCTTTTCGTTTTCTTTGCTGGTCTTTTTCTTCAGCTCTTTGAAGGGCGAGGCTCGCAGGTTTGATGCCCACGGACTTGCACATTTCAGTGTAGGCTCGCAAATTCCCAAAATTGTAGTGTGCAACTGCTTCATGTACTGTTGTCTCCACTGCGAACAATGAAGCGTGTTGGTCCTTTGAAGTCAGTGACCAAATAACTGAATGCAAGCTTTCCGCCGCATTCTGAGTTTTGTTGCCTTTGCATCGCTCCAACAGTTGCGGGTCAGAGAGACGTTGGTATACAGGCAGCAGAGCCTCCGCTACACGTTTCGACAGGTTATACCTGTGAGGTGGTGCTGGCTCCATTTTGGCCTGTGCTGAACGATGTTTGCACCAGCTATCAGGGCCAGGTGGGCAGAGCTCATGGTGAGGCTCGTCGTCGGTGGACGTGACGTGATAAAAAGTGGCCATCACGGCCCTTTGCATGTCAGGGACACTTGTGTGTTTTCGCAAGGCTAACCCGTAGTAGCTGGTCAGTTTTTTAATCAACTCCTGCGTCAGTCCACCTCTCCCACCCAATGGCTCCCCTTTCTTAGCTCTTGTCACCAGTGTGCGGAGAGCGGTGCCCATTCTCTTCTGCACATGGTTCACGCAGTCTTCTTTGGTCAGTGGTATGAAGCCGTACACCTCATCTTTGCACAGAGCAAGATAGGTTCGGCTGTCACCATCACATATAATGTTGGTGCAGCGGAGGCCATACCTGCTGACAGAGCGCCTGAAAAGTGTCAGAACAGCCTCCACTTCCATCTGTCCGGAGCCAACATCAGTATTCTTCTGACATTGATGTTTCTCAGCCCAAGTGACGAAGTTGGGGTCGCTCTCTGCTGGTTGTTGACAACACCCAAGACAGAAGTTGGAAAGGACTGTGCAATCCAGCACAAGCCCCGTGTAAAACTCAATAATACATCCTACCCCAATGTGTGAGCTGTGGCCTCTTGTAAGCCACGTGCCGTCATACACAACTGTGATGTTGTTTGGGCTTGATGGCTGCATCTTACTGTACACGTCTTTTACCGCAAGCACAGCATCTGCAAAGATGTTTTGTGCAGCTTCCTCTGCTCCTGGTTTGAATGTTTTTTTAGGTGTTCCTGATAGGTTTTTGATGAATGCCCCGATGAGAGACATTCATTGTAGCCCAGAAGTCATTCAGGGCAGTGGGCCCTTTTCCAATGGACTTGATTGCTTGCATGGCTCTTAGGTTGACTTCAAAAGCCCTTCCTTCGGATCTTCTACTGGATGACCAAGGTGAATGAATAGGGCCACAGGAAGCACACAAAAGTACCAGTTTTACTGCCAGGCCCAATTTTGTCCCATGCTGCACTGACAAAGTCTTCTTACAACATTTTGGGCAGAGTGCAGGTCCTATTAGGGGATTCATGGCAGAAACCTGAATTAGGGTGAACTCATCCTCTTTTGTTGCCGATGTTTGCTCCGTTTGCTGCGCGAACCCGAACTTCCGCTCCGTTGCCGACACCTCGCGAAGTGCATCGCGGACACTGCTGGCTTGCTTCTCGGCGCCTTCCGAGGACACGAAACGAGGTTCCAGGTGTATTTGAACGGTGCGCTTTCGCTGAGCCAAACGATCGCCGACATCCTGGACAGCTGGCACCACGTCGTCGTCCGCCGCCGCGAAAACGAAACTTTTCTCGCGTTCACACCGCACCGTGATGCCGCGGCTAGTTGACGGCCCCGGGTCATAGGCCTCACTACCGGCCGTCGACTCGCCATCATTCCGAAGAGCTGGCACGACGTCGTCATCCGCCGCCACGGAAACGAGACTTCTGTCGCACTCGAACCGCACCGCGATGTCGCGGCTAGTTGACGGCCCCGCGACATAGGCCTCACTGCCGAGCATCGGCAGCGAGCAGGTGTCGGCTTCCGACGACACGTAGCTTGGTGGCGACGCGGTACTCGGTTCGTCTGATTCAATCGCTGCTGACTGCTTCGTTTTCCCAACAGGAGGCTTGCTTTTACACTTCCCGTAAGCGTACTTCGTCCGGTACTTCGTCCTGCGCTTCCGGTCCACGCGACGATCCATTGCGGGCGCTAAGCCTCGCGCTAGAGAAGAGTTGGCGTATCGGCGACCGTATCGGCGTATCGGCAGGGGATTCGCAAACTATAGTGCGCCAGCGTGTGCGTAGCAGACGTGCGTGCGCGGAGCAGACGACCAGCGCAAGCAAGCGCGTCCCAGCAGCCACTCACAGAGCGCGCTCAGTACCACGTGACAGGAGCGACCAATGGGTGCGCGTCTAAGGCGTCGCGGATGCCTTCGCATTTTTTCTGTTTGTGCGTTTATCGTAGCTCGTAGAGTCGTGGTTTCACCGGGAGAAGTACGGCGGTGAAGCAAGCTTTCCAGTGGCACCAAGCTTTCCGCGAGCGGCGGCGAAGGCGCGGAAATATCGCGCTCGGAAATGGGCCATTTTCGCGCAGATTTCAGCCAGCTTTTTGCGATCCGCGGTCAGAAAAACATTTTTTAAGCTTACTTTGAGATCGTTTTCGGCGGAAATATTTTTAGATATGATAGAAATGGTGATGCAGAATCCAAATCTGCCCTTATCCAAAATTCGTTTTTTTGCGAGAATTTCGCGATTTGATCCCCGCGTCCCCCCTTAAGTGGGTTTTCGAATTAACAGAAGATACAAAAAGTGGGATGTAAGGAACTTAAAATTATTCAAAGTATAATTGGGGCTCGTCGTTTGCTGTGCTGGCTAGTTTGCAGCTCCAAGGAGGATTTTTTCCAGCAACACAAGGTCACAGTTTTGCCGCAAGCAAGGGGAACACCGTGCTTCGCTGCTGCAATCGCAAACAAGAAAAAAAAAAAGTGATGCTCTAAAATGCACGTCTGCGAAAAGATAAGACATCTTCACTGCAACACAGTAGTGACATGCGGGCAGCGTGTCACCTGTACCTCGCTGCATCAGCACGTCATGATGCGACTGTTCGCCTATTCTTTCTACTAAAATAAAGATTTTGATAATAGACAGTGTGACGAAATTCGTGATGTTTTGGCTAAAAAACATAGCGCAATAGTGCCATTGAAGAACATTGAAGCTTTAGAACCTAGTTTCCTGAGTAGGTGTAGCAGTAGAAACGAAAGTTGGGCTAACTGGTGGTTCATGCTTGGTTGTAAAACAACGCAAATATGCAGACAAAAACGGAAGAAGAGACGACAAGGCACTGAACTAGCAACTAAATTTTATTAGAAGAACACACACATATATCAGGCAGAAGACCTAGTCCTATGGCTCACCATACCAATTGCACGGCAAAGCAAACAGGGTACAAAGAAGAATCTAATCACCAAGAAAATGGACTCATTCAAGATAAATGAAAAAGAAATGATGATCACATCTGAAAACATGCATGACAGTCGAAAAATTCTAACAATCGCTTTAACCTGACAGCAACCCCAGTATCTAACCTTTTCACCAAGTGCCACAGACGGCTTGTCCAATGCATCTTTATGCCTTCCTTTCAATGTAAAAAGCCTCTATCACCTCTCTAGTACAATGTCCCGATGGCCAAACAAACAACTACTTTTGTCCACCAACGGCTGGCAGCCACACTCCCTGCAATGATGTGGCAAGTGCAGACTGCCAGAAGTCATCAAAGAAGCTAAGTGCTCCCTTAGTCTAACTATTAACGCACCACCCTGTTTGTCCTGTGTAAACCCTCCCGCATGACAAAGGCAGCATATACACAACACATGACTTACATTCAACATATCTATTCTTTCTCTTTTCCGGACAGAACGAGCTTAGTACCTTGTCGTACTTTCTTTCGTCTTTGTCCATATACCAGTGTTATATGACACATGACAGTGTTATAACTAGCAATGCGCTTGGAGTGTCCCTTCCAGGCTGGATGTCTATAACATTGCTAGTTATAACACTGTCATGTGTACCAGTCCTCAAAGTTAGAGTATGTATATTATTATCCAACCCCTATGAATTCAGTGGTGCTCGCAACATAAAAGAAGTTGCAAGGTGAGAAGCGGCGCTGTCGTTGCAGCCACCAGTGGACCAAGTTGAGGTGCGGCACATGTGCAAAAAACCACCACGCTCAAACGCGAACCGCTCTTGCGCTCACTGTTTGCAGCATGGGAGTGTACAACTTCATATTCACTGCAGATGAAAAAATTCTGATTGCAAATATATAGTGCCATTTCCCACTTTGCCATTTCGCTTACCGGTAAGTTTTTCGTTGCGCTAAAAAAGCGGGCACCATAAAAATTGGCTGTCAGTATCTGTGCAACCTTCTACAAACCTCATGCTTTGGGCAAAGCATGACGGTTGTATTTTTTCAGCATTAATTCTTTAGTGGTTTCTATCTCACCAATTTTTAATGTCCCGGAGCACAGTGTTCACGCAATTCGTGAGAGTGTCCAAATAAGGGCCATTAAAATTATCTGCTATATAACAATATATAACTTACCCCAGTAGACACTGCTGTTTCTGAAACAGGTATGAGGTTTTGAAAATATAGAATAAGGTTGAAATTCATTCTATAACAAGTTTTGATTGGGCTCTCTAGGTATGTTATGACGGAGATCCCGAGGCAGCACTGATTCGTTTCTCCAACCATGCCGAAGCCAACGCTGCGTATCGGTGTACAGAGGCAGTGCTAAACAACCGTTTCATCAAAGTCTTCTGGCACAACAAAGACCGGAATGCAGCGCCCACGGCGAACGGCAGTGGATCTGTTGTTCCAGACACTTCCGGTGCCGCTGCCGCTCCTGCAGGAAATGCCAGTGCGGCTAACCAGCCAACCAATGGTGCCACAGCTGCCACTGTCACGACGGAGGTACAACCCACCAAGAGCATAAAGGATCGGCTAGGGGCACCTCCTGTTGAAAAGGTCAGGAGTTTTCCAGAAATTACAAACGCATGTGTGAAATTGCAAAAGGAAACGATGTCGCAGGAAGAATAGGAAGAATAGAATAGGAAGAAGTGCATCAGTAGTATGAAGCCACAGAGCAAACCTGTTTTTAAGGTTTCTTGGAGAGAGACAGTCGAAAAACTTTAATTGGTCATATTAAAGCTCAAGGATTAGCCCTGGAGCCAAGGTTTTTATTTCAGGAAGTCACTGTTTTGTCTGAGCAATGCCGGACTGAAAAGCCACGCGAGCGTTCTGTCTTATGGCCTTCGCAGTGCATATGTTTGCATGCCCCGCCACAGCACCGTATTGTCGCTGTGACCCTGCCATTGCTCGCCATTGCCTTCGTGACTGCAGGCCATGCAAAAGTAGATGCATAGCGGAGAAAAAGACAGAGGATTTTCAGACCACAAGCAGCAGGTAACAACGCTTTCAACTATGGTAGAATCGCTGCGCCCCTCGTGTTGAGCAGTGGCTTTAACCACAGAGAAACGCTACCAATGCGCTGAACTCAATTGCGGAGGCCGTAAGACAGAAAGCGCGTTTCTAGTCCTGCTGTGGTCTGGGCTAAAAAGAATGCTGACAATTTGCACAACATGAGTTTAACGGAAACTCGGAATAGCAATAAGGGGAAAAATGGGAGATTATTTCTCTTGATATTTGTGAAAATAAGACATTGCTAAGTAACAGCAAGGAATCCCAACATGTTGTTTTTCCCCTCAGAAAAAAAATTGCGTTAAGCAAAAATCGATCCTTGAACCAATACAATATTTTTGTCTTTCATATGCAAAGATTTCAGAATTTAGAAGTGTATACAGCTGAACCTCTTTATAAGATTCATGTACAGAGCAGCAATTCTCGTCTTATATATGACGTCTCTTATATGCAGGTTATTATGTATGAATTTCCTTATGAACCCTTATTACAATCTAAACAAATTGGGTTTCTTATACCCATTTGTCTTTTACGTCATTGTCCCTTATAAAGGGTTTTGTCTGTATAGGCCTCGTTTAACTCTTCTGCATTTAACTATCCTGTTTTTAGATGCATGAACTCTTAGATTGTTAACACTCTTTTTCTTTCTTGAATTTTCTTTCATAAAATCTTTGTGGGTGAATTTTGTTTGAGAGAATGTGGAACCAAAATCTGCCAACCTGCTTGAAGTTTAAGCACACCATTGTTTCGGGCTTCACATAGGCTGGATCATTGTGTTGTCACAAGGTCGTTGCTCATTTACCTGTGAGGTTAAAAAGAGAGCATGACTATCTGGCAAACAACTTCAGCTACTGCTGCAACACTGATGCATACTTACACAGAACCGTAGGGAATTCCTTCAGCATGTCAGCGGATCTGACATAACATGATGAAATTTGTTTCTATTTGCTTCCTGGTAACTGAGTATTCAACATTGTTTCTTCTCCATTTAACAATAATTTACTCTGCATTTTAAACAAATTTGTACATTCTTGTGTCGTGTACAGCAGGGCAACCCCCTGGGCAAAGAAATGTCACTCAGGAGTGTTGTGTTTTTGAGTGTGCTTCCTTTGCTATCGCTTACTCTCGTACCTCTTTTCAGTGCCCTGTGGTCAATTGTGCGTTGTCAAAGCTTTGCAGAACCTTTAACTGATGCACTTCACCTTCTTCTATTTGCGATCTTTTTCTAGAATAGCAAATGCACTGGCCATTCAGTTGTTTGCCAGCAATCTGGCGAGCATGCTGCTTTCAGCTCAAAAGAAAACTTGCCAACAGGGCTGGTTACAAATAACATAGAAGCCTTTTCTGAAGTTACCAACACACCCTATACATTTGTGCAGTCTGCTGTGTTCAACCCCATCGCTGGAAACCTGTCACGAACGGTGTTCAACCCTGCTGCACTGAAAAAGAACAATGTTATCAACACTGGCCTGCCTAAACGTACGAAGGAGGAGCAGAAGACGGTGAGCATTTTTTTATTTTAGCTGAGCTACTCAACAAGTGCATGTCATTCTTTAAGCTAAACTTGTAGATAGAAGGGTCGATGGTATCTGAAGGAGCAACGATTCAAGATGGAGCTAATGTTTTGACTAGGCTTGTGCCAAGTGCAGTGAACTTTCAATTCAGTGAACCTCAAGGGACCCAAGGAAATATTTCACTTAACTGAATAGTCACTAAACTGAATAATCACTATAATATGGAACAGCATTGGGCTCAGCAAACATTAGAGTCAAAAGTGTGAAATGCAATTTATTTCGAAAAGAAATCTGTGATTTTCATTTGCACTGGTGCCCTTAAAGCACAAGAGAGATGAACTTTTCCAAAGAATCTAGATTTCTGCGCAGTGCCTCTGGCACAGCTTGTTGCTGAAACATGAAGTCTCGCAACTTTCTAACATACTCTACTGCCTCAGCTAATGTTACAGGGTTTGAACCAACCTCAGCTGTTACGGCTTCCTTGTGGCACTCTTCTTCTGGTTCCGCACAAACACTCGAAACAATTTCTAAATCAGATACTTCTGCACAAGGGACAAGATTCCTGTCACACTGCACATAGCCTCAAATTAAGCACCACGGTAAACGTCCAGCTGTTGACAGACCTCTTTCCACATTCCAGAGTCAATGACCGCGCTGTTCTCTTCCTCCTGCTCACTGACCTCATCGTGCTTTTCTTGCTCATTTGCATCCTACTTGTTGAAAGGCCGGATTTGTGCCAGCAGTTTCTAATTGTAGCCTGTGACACTGACCACCAGGAGCCTGTCACCATCTTGGCCGCCTGCTTGACATTGAAGGGCCCATTGTTCCCAATCGTTTTATTAATTAAAATCCGCTGCATGAGCTGCCATCGGTCGACCTTCAAGTTAACTCGACCTTCAAGTTCTGTATGATGCCCAAGTCGAGCGGTTGAAGCACAACAGTGCAATTTGGCGGAAGGTAGTCGACACCCACATTGCTCGAATGGGGATCGACAAGATGTGCGGAGCAATTGTCAACAATCAAAAGAATCTCTCTTTTTGCGTTTTTAATTTCTTCGTTGATGATCAGCAGCCACTCACTGAAGTGATTCCTGGTCATACATGCTTTTTGGTTGCTTTTATACGTGCATGGAAGTGAAGGGAAACCTTTAAAACATCACGGTTTCATGTATTTTCTTACCACTACGGGCTTGAGCTTGTGGCTGCCACTAGCTTATGCAGCAAGTATCACAGCACAGTGATACTTGCTTTCGATTGCTTCCCGCCTTTGTAACTGTCATTTTATGATGCCATTGTCTTGTTTGGAAGAACCTGATAAAACATACCAGTTTCGTCGGCGTTTTAAATGTTATCGAGCGAATTTTCACTAATTATATCCCGTAGTTTTTCATCCTTCCAGGTTCTTGCCGCTTCATGGTCAGCATCCTTGCTTTCACCACAAATAGTTTTCCATGTGATCTCATGCATATCCCGAAATCGGATAAGTCATCCGCTGCTTGCTTCGAAGCCATGAACGTGCAGAATCGGAGCAAATTCCTCCGCTTTGCACTGTATAATCAGGCCAGACACAGATATGTTTTGGGATCGCAGGTCGGGGAGCCATACTGAGACGGCATCCTACACTGCCTTGAAATGTCCCGTGCAGAGTCGTTTCCTGCTTGGATTGAATGTAGTTTCTCCTTCGAGCTTCGTTTTTTGCTTGACTATTGTTGATAACGTCGACGGTGCAATTCCATATCCCTTCGCAACGTCCACTTGCCTTTGCCCGCTGTCAAGACACTGAGGGATATTGAGCTTGTCTGACAGAGTCAACCGCTTGCATTTCGTTGAACTCACTACGAAAGTCTGCGCACGGTGCGTGAAATGCGCTGTTGTTTCCCGAAATAAATATGGCGCTGACAGATGCCGATGAGACAGACAAAAAAAGACGGGGTGCGCGGCAAACTGATGTGCACGTAACTCGTTTTCGTCACACACACGGCCTCTTTGCCTCGGTGGTGCGAGTGGGCGATTTAGTGGCGGCTCGCATTGACTATGCCAGTACTGCTGTGCACAAAAATTCGTTGAATTGATTTTAAAAATGAGCCTAAGTCCGAGGATCATGTTCGTTCGACTGAAAAATTCACTATTTTGATCGTTTAACTGAAAGATTTTTACATTGAATGCCTAAGAAAATCGTTGGGGATTTTCTAAAAGTTCGTTACCCAGAAATATTCGTTCAACCGACGTTCAAACAAGTGAGAGTTTACTGTATTCCACATGAACGAGTAGGTGTATACTAAACTGCATGTAACTGCCTGTTAAGGTGTTTTCACTGCAGTATAGCAGTGCTAAGCCATGAAGGCACTTACCCAAGAAAAATTTGCTCTGCCGCGAAGCCCCATTCCAAATTTAAGGGGAGATGCTACTCGAAAAATGATTTCGTTTAATAAGAGCCTGAATTTAACACAAATTGGTATGCTAATAGAGTTTTTTCTCCTCTTTTCAAATATGTCATTTATTTTCATGTAGATTGCTTGGTTTTCTTTCTGCAGGTCAGATACTGCAAAATTGTGGCCATTGTTATGCAACAATTCTTACCTATAAAAATTTGAGATAAATCATGCAGATATAGCTGACTATGATTCTTTGGAACTGTAGAGTGCCAAAAACTATATGAATTTTGTGTGTAAAAAGGTGAAATACAATAATAAAATAGAAAAATTTACTATGGCTCTAGTTGCGAAGGGCTTTCAATGTTATGTAATTTTTGAAAAACATAATCAAGCAGCACTGACAATCTGAATAGATACTTGCACTCTATGGACCTTCATCATGCTATGTGCAAAATTTCATAGAGGTATGACAATTTTAAGTATACGAACTAGCGTGTATAAGAAGCACAGATCACACAAAACTTCAAAAGGAGAAAAACGCATTTGAAAGTTTGAAACCTTTTTTTTTTTTTATCACAGAGTTGTTAGAAATGCACAATCTTTGGCCATAATGTTCAACAGAACTTTGAAAAGCACTGCAAGTTACTAGATTTGTCCTGCAGCATAGGTTGTGCCCTCACGGTCCTTGCGAGCACTCTCTTCTAGCCATGCCCTTTTCACTCCACGACGACGGTGGGCCCTTGCTTCTGCTGTCAGACGCTCGGACATTCTCTTGATGCGCCTCGCATCGCAAGAATCACTGAAAGTAACTAGATCTCTAGATGGCAGTATGTTGAGCTCTTCCAGGATGTGCTCGAAAGTAGCATGACCCTTGTTGAACCACAGGATTGCCATAGCTGCGGCAGTCTCGACAACCGTTCGGGAGACAAACTTAGTATTGGGGCAAAGTAGCCAAATTTTGCTGTACAAGGATTCCGATGCGTTCTGGGTTTTCCCTTTGATGCATCGAGCAAGGAGGTTCTCATCCCTTAGCCGCTTATAAATGGGCAAAACAGGCAATCCCTGTGCTTTTGTCAGGAGAGGTGTGTGGCGTGGTGCAGGTTCACCAAGTGCTTCAGCGCGTTGATGTTTGCACCACGACTCTGTTCCTGCAGGGCAAAACTTGTGGCTGCCAGCATTGTCAGTAGAGCATGAGTGGAAGTACGAAGCCCATACTGCAGTGTACATATCCCGTACACTCCCCCTGTTGCTTGTTATGGCAATCTGATAGTATGTTTGGAGCTTCTGAATGGCTGGCTTTTTCATTTTCTGCCCTCGTGGTAATGGCACATGCAGCTTCCGTAGCGCGGTGCCAAGTCTCTTGGCCACATGATTAGTGCAGTCTTCTTTTTCTATATTGACAGCACCATAGACTTTTGACTCTGCAACTGCACTATATGCTTTGCTGTCACCGTCACTCAAGAATGTCATGAAATGCAGTGGGGTGTCATAAGTCAATGTTCTCTGCCAAATGCGCATTGCAGCCTCCGTTTCCATGGCATGGGAGGAACAGTCTGCATTTTTTTCACAGACTGGGCCATGGAATGCCTGCCACACTTCCTTGTCTGGGCCCATATCCTTGTGCCTACTGCATGTCAGGCAGTAATTTGATATGACCTCGACGTCTAAGCAGAGGCCAGTATCTAAGGAGATAACTGCGCCAATCTTGTTGTGGCTTTTGTGGCCCCTCTTCTGCCAAGTGCCATCGAACATAACAGCCACATCAGTTTCGCCTGCTACTTCTTTCGTCAACTCTCTAGATTGGCGCAAGTTTTCACTCACAGCTGCCATGGCAGCGGTGTGCACCTTCTTTGCTATCGAAAAAAAATCCTCGGTGGTGCATTGGCTTTGGGAGTCCAATAATGGAGCAAAATCTCGACAATTGCTCATGCCCAATGCTGACAGCACGTGCAGCCACCACCGCCTTCACATTTACAGCGAAACTATCTCGGGAGCTCCCACTGTTGTACCGTTGGCTCACTCGGCTGCTGCCATCTGCCGTAACACGCAGTGACGTATAGGAGCACGAAAGAACAGCCGCTGAGCATTCGCTGTTTTCGCAGTGAAGTTCGAGGAGCGACGAAAGTCCCTTGCGCTTTTCTGCCGGCTCCCGAACGGCAAGTTTTTGAATACTTCAAGCAGGGCATGCCGCACCTGCCACAAGTGCCGTCAGCAAGAGGGTGTCGCACAAAACTGTCGTTGCACAAACCTCATCGCGCTGTCTTTCGTCTTTTTCGAAGAAGCCGAGCTTCTTTTCCGAAGCACTGACGAAAGAAAGCGCAGCGTCAATCCCTTCATCGCAGCCACTGTCGCTTGCGCACTCGTCGATGCCGCCGTCAGGCCTAGCACACGTAGGCGCGTTCTCGTTCGTCGCCGTCGTTCAGGACGCTTTATGCCGCCTTCCCTTGAACTTGTGCTTCGTTCGATACTTCTGCGGTCTCACGTTGCACTTTTTCGGGCTTGTCATCGCGGAAATATGCGTAGACGTGCAGAAAAGCAGACGGACCAAATGCCGATGGCCGCCACCAACACAGCTGACAATGACTCGGTAGCCAATGGCGATGCGGCTTAGGGTGCCGTGCGTTTCAAACCGCTCAAACCACGTGATAAAAAGGCCTCGTTTTTTATTTTTTTTTTGCCCACGTACGAAACTGGCAGTCGTCGGAGCTGTAAGAAGAAGGCCGGACGCAACTTTCCCAACCGATCGCGATAGCGGGCGGCACTGCGATGGGGAGCAGCGCGCAGTCAAAGATGGCCAATATCGGTGCAAATTTACGAAATTTTGAGCCACCGCGATGCCTTCATATACATTTTTTTGCATTTTGCGGTTCGAATTTAGTTTTGAAATTTTTCACAGATGAAAGAAGAAGGTTTGAAGATTACAATGCAATAAAAATCAGAAATACGAGAAATTTCGCTAAAAACGCGATTTTTCGACTCGCATCTCCCCTTAAATGGGCCCTGCAACACTTTTTGAGCATGGTTAGCAAATGCAGCCGATCGATAGTGGAGGCTACCGAGAACACATGAGCTAAATGTTATAGCACAGCACGCGGCCTGGAATTCACAATTGAAAGCTTGATAAAAATTGCTCTCGTCTCTCAGCAAATGATGCCACAATGCCAAAAATTGCTAGTCATAGTCATTGTACCAGTCACTGATTGATTTGAGCGTACATGCGCGATCGCACTGAAATCTGCATATTTAAAGAAAAAAGAGAAAAGAAAGAGGGCTCAAAGTCGCAACAAGCATGGGACGTATATTCTTTCCCTATGCCATTTCTCCTGGTTTCGCTTCAAGCTCTTTCGTCGGGACGAGAAGAGAGAATGCTATTGGAGCATGTAGCAAATCTTTGCAACTCCACTCATACTGGAGAGATTCTAAAAATTTTGCAGTGGTTACTTCATAAGGCAATAAGCTTCTTTAGTGAATTCATTTTGTGACAACTTGAAAGACTGTTGCAGGGTTCCTTTAAATGAACATATTATCCTCAAATCGATCGATCATTTTCTAATCTTGAAGGCTTGTTTTGCCAGCTTATATACCCTAGCTGTAAGGAATAATGTTACGTATTTTACAGGTTATGACTTGCATCATACTGAAAGTCAAATCCTGCTATTTCTCAAAGTTGTTTCGACTCCCTTTGAATGGAAAAAAAAAATAAAGAAAGCTCTTGCATAGAGGCTTTGTTAAAAAGATATTGTGCAAGTTAGTTAGGTCATAATAAATATAGCCATTTTTTTATATGTGTTATATTCTATTCGAATTCAATTTGAAATAATTCTACGAAAATCACTATTTGCTTCGAACCTAAAATTTACTATTCGCCCAACCCTAGTTTTGACAAAAGCAACAGTTACGATGTAAAGATGTTTTTGAAGATAGGTGAATTCCATCCAAACTTCTGGAGCATAAACTTTAATAAACGACCGAGGTTTTATAAGTTACAGATGAATGTGAATGCCCTCATTATTGATGGTTCATTACAATATCTTTTAAACAACACTTGTTTACAATGTAATGGGTCTGAATGCTTTAGGCAGTGCTAAACATGTTCATGTCATTTAGATTTAGCTCCAGATCTAACTGCATCTAAGTATTTGGATTTTGCTTATATTGCTTTCAGGAGGTAATCAAGAAAAAAGTAGAAGTACAAAGCCAAAGGCAAAAGCTTTTAGAAAAGCATCTTCAACAGTATAAGGTAAGTTGTTGAAGTTAGTGTCTGTTGCATAGCCCAAGTTTGTTTGTTACATTGACAAACACTTGCTTATGTGCTCATGCATTACTCTTATTTTTCAGCTTTTGCTTGAAAAGCTAGGGAAGTGCAAAACGGAAAAAGAACGCGAAGAAATTAAACAGGTGAGATCTCATACTTTATGTTTTACTGAAGGTAGAGGGATGAAACAGCACTTATTGTAAGATCATTGTTGGTATACTGAAGTACCGAAGAATGAACAGTGAATACGATTCTTGGTTTTGCCATGTTAGATTTAATAATATCCGAGTGTAGGCCTCATAATGTTAACTGTGTGTGCATGCACATGTGTACATGTTTAGGTATGCAGTCCATGTGATGAAGCTGGAACACAAAATTGTAGGAGTTACACTGTGAGGTTGGAGGATGGGTTAGGGAACAAATAAGGGTTATTCTAGTTTACATGACATCAAATGAAAGCAATGGACCTGAGATGACCACTTAATATAAATAAGGCAGACATCAGATGCACAGTAAGAGTGATGGTGCGGCTGCCAGGGTAGGAGAAATACAGCCGAGAAAAGCAGATAGTGAGATAGAAAGATGAAATTAAGAAGTTTGCTGGGCTAAAATGAAATTAGCTTGAACCGGATAGCGTAAACTAGAAAATAATTGGGAGAGATCGTCTAGCAAGAGGCATAAATGCGCTGAAAAGTCGGGGTGTGCAAATATTCTAAAGTATTGAATACAGTTGAACTTCGATTATACGTCTCCCGGTTTCACGAGGACCTGCACTTTACGACAAATTGGTTAGGTCCCGGCAAAATTCCCATAGGAATAATGTAATATAAACCTTGGTTATATGTCGCAGTTTTACACCGACCCCGCATCTTACGACGACATTCAAATTTCGTCCAAAAGGAAAAAAAGCCTTTACTTGAATCAAGCGTGGACCAAATATTCACGAGTGCAAAACGTAGACTTGCGTTCCCCTAGGTTGATGATTAGAAAGGTAGAGGAGACAAATGTCTTCTTGGAATGGAAAATTTATTCTCCTAAAAGTTCATGCGCTTCTACACCGTTATCGAATGTGCGCGTGTCTGGGGCCATTACCTAGTCAAGCTCTATCCACACAAAGTAGCTCCAGTCGGCCGAAAAGCTGATGTTTTAACGTTTTTGGTCCATGGAAACATTTTTTGGTTGACATACAGCTGATCTCCTGCCTTTGTCGCACTCGCAGGCACAGACTTGCGGACACATGAAGGCGCGACGCAGCTGTTTTCACTGTGAAAGATTACTTGCACTTGACATCGACGTTCATACTAACAGCCGGACATCACTAGTTGCACTTCACAAGGCCACAAATTACAACGTGCATAGCTCAGTCGCACACGAAGGCATTCTACGCACACTCGTGGCCGGTTGCCATTATGTGATAGTGATGACACTGTGTCTGAGTCTTCTGACGGGAGGCTATTGGCAACACAGTTTCGGTTTTGTTTTCACGCGCAGGCAATTTTCAGATTCTATTTATCGGTAGAAAGATGCACGTTAGATTCAATTCTTTTTAAACTTTAAGTAGCGATTCGCTTGCACCTCTTTCAACTTAGTTATGCTGCCATTAACTGTCGCTGGCATGAATAATTTAATCTATTTTTCTAGTAGAGGCACAAGGTCGTGTCATGGGCTTACTTAGGCGGTCTATACCCATTTTTGGGACAAGGCTGAGTGTCATTGCTATATTCTTAGTTTTTCTATTATAGTACCGCGGTTTCACGTGGTGGTCCCCTGAAAATCATATAATCGAGGTTTCACTGTATCAGTCAAATATTGCATGCATAATATGCGTAATAAAAGATTACCACACAATAAACAAATTTTGAATATTCAAAATAAATCACTTATTCGAACTTTTCAAATATTCGGTTGTTTAAGTTGCTGAAAAGAATTTTCGATTTTGCACTTTTATAATAATTTGATCAGCAGTCGACCATGCAGTGATTACTATGACTTCAGCGCGAGTGCTATGATGCCTACATGGAAATACACAGGCGCGTGATGACGGCTACTAATGTGATGGCACTTCTTTGCGACAGATCTATCAACAACAAGTATGTTAAGGAATCTAAATCATAAACTACCTGCTTAGCAGTGTGTGTGGCTTTGCGGTTTTCCTCTGTCACCACTTGTGTAAGCGTTCTGTAGATGTGCCGAACACATCATTTGCTGCCGCGCCCTTGTGCGCGGGACCATGTCAATAAAGTGTGTGTCACTTGCCTACGACGCCACATGGGCGTAGCAAAATGCTTGCTGCACCTTTGCACGGTCCAGTGCTGAACGAGCACGAAGAAATGTCATTGTGCAAGGGCAGTGACATTGGCATGGGTACGTTATAGCAAGCAGCACTGGTGGAGCAAGCTTAGCAGGCGACACACTGCACGCAACTATCTGATACAACCTTATATTTACAGAGTAGCCCCGCCTAGGGGACTTATGAGCACCAGCCGATTTCCTGCGTGACCAAAGAAATGGTCTCACTCATGCATTCAGCAATGTTCTCCAAGGGCAGGATTAGTGGCTGCTCGGCTCATGACGTCAATCCAGAGAGTATGCCTGTTGGGACAGGCTTGTAGGTATATCCACCTTTGAGGAGGAAGTGCTACAGAATTCTAAAGTTGTATTGAAGTATAGCTAGTGTAGCTGCACCGGTTTTCGCAAATTGATCGCTCTACAAATGTACATGCACGCATCATGTACATTTCTCAGTTGCTTATGGTGGCTCACGTCAGGCGACGAAATTCTGAGACGGTTATTGTGTAGTTACGCTGTGTTCCCATCAGCGCTTTTGGAATGCATTTTACATGCACCACACTGACACGGTAGCGTTTCCCGATGTAATCCTCCGTAACTTTGTTGCTGTGATCTCACTGTTTCGCCAACATCAGTTTATTTTCATCAGAAGCCACTTTGCTTAAAGTGGCAAAATAGCACTCTCGCCACCGAAAGTTGTGGATCCATTAACAAAAAGGCATATTTGGGGCGTCTTTGTGTCAAAGCAGTAAGCATCTGTCTCGCCTGCTTTCATTGAGGTGTCACCGCATGCCCGGTACTCTTTGTTCAGAAATTACATACAGCTATCAGTGTGACCTGGCACTCTTGGTAGGAAAGTGGCGAGCGCGCAGTTCTCAAGAAAGAGAATGAAGGAAAGCTTGTGGGGTCTCCACGAGGCGAGCGCCTCGTCATGCTCTTGGAGTGAACGGACACAGCAGACGCGGTCGGTACAAACCAAACAACATACATACATTTATTTAAGTACTTTTGAACGACGATATCGTCCGCCGAATCGATACATCAGTAATGAACACGCTAGGACATCGTTACATAATAACACGACAAACACACAACATGACAAACACGCTAACATACCCAAGGCGGCGGCGCCAACGCTTGACTTACCATGTGGGACCCCGGCGCGAAGCCCGCAGTGCCGAGCACCAGGGACCCACGCTACAGACAACCGTTCACGGCAACCGCCACGCGCAGAAGAGGCTCGCTCAACTTTCGCCCGCCACCAAGGCCTGCCTTTCGCCAGGGGTCACCGACGGCGCTACAACTCTACCAACAGTGGTACTCAACTCGAACACAACGCCATCTATCGTCCGACAGTTGTCACCCTTGAAAAAATGGCTTTTGTGCCAGACATGTGCGCCACGCGGCGCAAACAACTTTACAAGGAGTGTCAGCACCCCCACAGTCTCTCAACCTTAAATCAAACCATATTCCTAAAACAAAAAGATAAGCTACACAAACTTTAACAAAAACAAATGACATCGCATGTCCATAATATTCTTGCACCATGAAATCGCCGCCGGTCGACACTGCTGCACTGTTTGGCTCGAAATCACAAAGGTGACCGCTTCCTCAGATTATACCGGTGTGGGGTCCGAATGCGGTCCGCCGCTCCGGGTGTGCCCGTTGCTTGCGCAAAGTGCCGCAGGGCGCTGGCGCGAGCTCGTTAGACCGTGACAAAGGGCTTCAGGTCTGTGATGTGGGCACGGCTGAGTTTTCCCAAAGGGGATCTTTCAGCTAGTATGCGCCACTGACGCTCACTGACAATCGGTTCATAAGACCGGGCGGCTTGCCAACCCTCTGCTCAACCATTTGTCAGACGTGGCAGGCACGGAATAGCGATAAAAGCCACGCTTCGTGCCAAGCCAGGTCACAATGTTGCTCGGTTTGCATAAAACTTTGGAGCCACTCAGGTGACCGGCCATGTGTTCGTCATGAGAGAATCGCAACAGTGCGGCTCTCAGACTTTTTTGGGGCATAGCCACCTTAAACGGATCGATGGACTCGTCAGTGGCTACATAGTTCAGCAGGAGCCCGTCATGGTCCAGCAAAATGAATCCACCGGGGACTCAGCGACACACGCTGTTTCAGCCCCCCAATCGCGCCCGCCGCAGAACAAGCAGCGTAATGGCGCTCCGCGCCCCTTCAAGACGGTTTATCGGCGCCCGCCGCAGAGCAAGCAGCGTATACAGTGCTCCGTCCCTCCGAAACTCGAAACGGAACACTTTACTGAGCCTTCAGTAGCTCTTCGCTGCCGAAAACGATTCCCATTCTCCCGAATGGGGGAGTCTGGCATTGCGCCCACGCAGGACCGCAGCAACCACCGCGTGCACGGCGTCACGAGTTCGCTCTCGGCACGGTGGCCTTCGGAAAGTTGCCCCGCTCGGCCGTCATGCAGTGCGCCGCTTACCTGGATAGCAGCCAAGGTCATCCTCATGGGGACTCCCCTTTCTCGCCGCTGTTTCGCCCCCGACACTTGCATGTGCTGTGGCACCACGAGCGGCCATCACACCGAAATCCAGGTTCTCGGCAGACAACAGGGGGCACGAGATAGCGCGTCAGCTACCACGTAGGTTGTGTATTCACCACAAAAGGAGGTGACGACATAGACGGATGCCGAAGGGTGCCTGTTGATACAGGCGGTGGCCTCTATCCACAGGCACCCTTCGTGGTTTCCACGAGGGGTCTCCACGAGGCGAGCGCCTCTCTATGCTCTTGAAGTGAACGGACACAGCAGACGCAGTCGGTACAAACCAAACAACATACATACATTTATTTAAGTACTTTTGAACGACGATATCGTCCGCCGAATCAACACATGAGTAATGAACGCGCTAGGACATCGTTACATAATAACACGACAAACACGCCTAAGGCGGCGGCGCCAACCCTTGACTTACCACGTGGGACCCCGGCGCGAAGCCCGCGATGCCGAGCACCGAGGACCCACGCTACAGACAACCGTTCACGGCAACCTCCACGTGCAGAAGAGGCTCGCTCAACTCTCGCCCGCCACCAAGGCCTGCCTTCCGCCAGGGGTCACCGCCGGCGCTACAACTCTACCAACAGTGGTACTCAGCGCGAACACAACGCCATGTATCGTCCAGCGGTTGTCACCCTTGAAAAAATGGCTTCTGTGCGAGACACGTGCGCAACGCGGCGCAAACAACTTTACAGGGGTTGTCAGCACCCCTAGGAGTTAGATAATGAGTATCTGAAGATGCCCAAAGTAGTCCTATTCGCCTTAGTGTGCAGACCGGTGGGAACAGAGGTGACTATTAAAACGAAAAAAGATAGCATTTTGGGTTTTATGGGCCAGAACTGATAGTGGGGTAACCTGGATAAACTGTGACGACGACCAAGGGCACTTAAGTAATTGCTTAGATGTTTAAGTACTACATGGGCATTAACTGCAACATTTCACCAGCTCATGGTAATGTGGCTACCAAAGCAGGAATAAAACCAACAGCTTAGTTCATACTCAACGCAGCTACAAAAGCATTTTTTTTTTTTGTAATGCAGTGCTACCACATAAAAAGAGGTATAAAAAAATTGTTCAACACGTGAATTTAAACCAAAGCTTTATAGTCACAAGTTCAATAGCACAGTCATAACTTCCCGACTGGTACAGGCAATTATTTTTTTTTTGTGCATTAACAGACTGAAATAGCTAACAAATGTACTATTTTCAACATAAATACCATATGGTAAAGTAAAAGATTACTGCTTAAATAAAGGCTTCTCTTGATCATTTGATATTTGATTCGTCTTTAAAGCGACGTACTCGTATTCGTTTCGCATTTGAAGTGTTTGATTTTCGTGCACGTCTACTGAAAAAGGATGATAATGATGATGTTTCTGCAAGAAAGTCTCTGTGTTGTTAGACATCATGGACTATTTTACCAAGACATATGGGCACTGCCACCTTAGCTGTTACACAAATGTTTTTTTATTTTTGCATTTTATGACATGATAATGTCAAGAAATGCCAAATTCGCCAACGCAACCATTTTAATGTGTATAGTATGTTCAGCATAGTGTTGTTTGTCTTGTTGCTCAAGATTAAAAACAGCAAGGTTATCAGCCCAATATGGCGACACCCAAACCCTTTCTTGAGATGATCTATAGCCCGTCGAAACATTGCCTAGTGCACATACCACTGGTACATAACCACAGTCTGTAACATTTGATTCGACCTTGCAGCAATATGTCGCTTGGAAATTTACTTTGGTTCTTGTATAGCTTCCATCGTCTAACCCATTAGATGTCAACTGTACATGGAACTACAGCAGCACAGTAGACTCTCGACAATTCGAACTCTGGTAAATCAAACTTTCGGTTTATTCAAACACAAAATGAAATTTTGGTTGACCCATTCTTTTCACTGTATTTTAATGCTGCTTAATTCAAAGTGCCCCAATGCACAAGTTCAGTCCATTCAAACTTTTTGCTTGTCCATCCTAGAAATATCTGCTGCGTTAGTTGTCTCTATCTGAGCATTCGTGTTTTTATGTCACTTACAATTGCAAATAAAGCCGATTGCTTGCTTTAAAAGCTGCCAAATTAAACCAAATTTCATGCACAATCGTTCGAATGTTGACTGAAGAACAAAAATATATAAAAAATCGAAACGGCCTTGATTTAAATCTATTGTGTGCCGAATATTTCCCTAAAAGTCCCCTGCAACATTTAGGAGTTACAGTAGAGTAGTCTCACTATTCTCACATGACGCTTCGTGAACCATATGCCACAAAAGTTTTTGCAATCTGTCAATAACTAGCTGAGTTACAGGTACCTATTTATTGCTGACTTCAAGCGATTTATTCTCCGTCCATGACAGCGAACGCATTTAAAGCTATATATACAGGGAGGGAGGATGAGAAGGGGTTAAAAAGATGCATCCCTTTGCCAGAGCAAGTCATGACCTACCTTGAGTACTTTTTTTTCTTTAAATGCACAACTTACTTTCAGCATGGTCACGAGCATGACAGGGGTTTGTGGCATTCATTCTGTGGTGGCCACAATAACTGTACAGCAAATAGTCAACTGCTCAGATGTAGGTATATGGTGGAGAAATTGGGGTATACATGACTTCATTTATAAAAGAAGAGGGAGTGATTTCTAGCCGACTTTGCGAATCATTTGTAAGTTCTAGGCTGCATGCCACACTTTAATGATTGGCTCGCGTGTTCATGGGAGCTATGGTTTGCAATTGGCAGTAGCGTTTTCTGACCATCTTCAAAAAATGTTTCAGGGCTTTCTAGTCACTTTCTTTGCAGTACACCAATGACATGCAGAAAAGTGTTTTAATAGACAGGGGCTATCAATTGTCGTGGGACGCTACACATTTCGCTCATTAATTGCACACATTGTTTTATAACAAGTAACAGCACGATAGTTAATCATGTGTGTGATGTTGCTGTGCCCTGAGAAGCAACAAACATCACAATTCTAGTTGACACGTTGGCATGAATCACATCTATGGGAACTTCTAGTTGCCGTATTTACTCGTGTAATGAAAGCACTCGCATGATAAACGCACCCCCTACATTCATCCACTGCAGTCCCGCTAACCAACACCTGGTGCCTGCTCACCCGTTTGATCTCTTTCAGTTTTTTTTTTATTATTATTATTATGCCAACCCACTTCGGCTCGCTCCATCCCTAATCACCCGTTGCCAGCGTGCCATATTGTTTTTCTTTCTTTGTGTGCGCGGCACGTTCCCCCGTATTTTTCATCTATGCGCCACGAACGATGCAGGGGTTTTTCATCTTTCATCACGAACGATGCATGTGTAGAGACATCGCAGCTGATAAGCACACAGCCAGAGAAGGTCACGATACTGCTTGCGCCAACTGAAAGTCGCTTCCTGCAAATATGAAACATTAAAACTCAGCCTCAGTGCACGCTATTTTCGAGCGGCGACGACAGGATTTGCTGTCGCGAAGGGTGATTTGTCGTTATCGCGTCGCAGGTTTTTTGGAAAACCAGAAAAATCATTTATTCAGAAAATATCGTGAGGATTTCCACAACATGGTAGCAACCCCAATTATTCCGCGCGTACAGGAAAATCTCATGTGGAAGCGAGGTGGCGGCCGTATTTTGTCGTTAAACTTGTTATCAACGGTTAGTTTTGATTCTTCGTGGATAGCTTGCTGCAATGTTGGTTACTTGCTACAATGTTAGCGACATCGACACGGTCGTCCTGCTAGGTTGTCCGCGAAGTTGGCAAAGTGCGTCGTAGCGCACGCTTTTAGGCGCCCCTTGAGATCACAGCAAATACCACTGTTGCGGTTAAACGATTGTGAGAAAAGGTAGCCGCAAAATGCTTTTATGGCGTACACGGGCGGCGTAGGGACAGTTTGCAGAAGATAGCGCTACCGAAAATGAGTAAAGTGGAACAAAGAAGTTCTTTCCAAACATTGTACACGTATGTCAATTGCGAATTACTAAATGAACTAACTTTTTTTTCTCATTATTGCTATTTTTTGCTTCTCCTGAAAACGTGTTCATAAAATTTATCTTGCATAATAAACGCACCCCCCAACTTTGCTCAGATTTTTCGAGAAAAAAATGCGTTCATTAGGTGAGCAAATGCGGTATTCAAACAAAATACTGAGTTCCTTTATATCCTTCAAATCCTTCAGGCATAATCATCAAGAGTCTACTGTATGTGAAAATTGCTGACAAGTGAAACATTGCCCACTTTTGTTTTTGCAGACGATAGCCACCCTGCAGCCGGTGATCGAGAAGCTACAGGTTCGACTTCAAGAAGGTGACCAATGAGCTGATTTCTAGTAGGGCGCTCAAGGCAGGAACGACGACGTCTGCATTGGCTGGGCTCAAAGCGGACGTGCCACATGGTCCACTCGGGAGAACGGTCAGTTCTTGGAACAGCCTATTGTAGGCTAATCGCCATGCAACACTAAAACCTGTTACCCTAGCAACAACACATAAACAACTGGTTACCTATTGTACATTATTGGCATGTGCTAGAATCATTGCCTTGTACCTTCTTTCCTGGATCATGGTACACCAATTTTCACACATACACATTGTCTAAATTACGTCCTCTAATTATTCTGTGAGAACTCCCTGCATGTTATAGTAAAAACTTGTGTACTGCATTGAATTTAGACCATGCACTGCAGCTTTTTGTCTTTTCTCTTCTTGTTTGCTCGTTAACAGCTTTTATGTAAGCCATGCAGCTCCCCTGCAGAAAAGCAAAAAGTACTTCCTAAGCATCAAGGAAAGCAATAGCTTAAGTGTTACTCTACTCCTTTTTCTGTATCTTCAGCAAGCTGAGAAGGAGCTCCTTGATGCCGAAATGGACCTTTACAACAAAATGCATCGCGGTGACGACACGACGGCGTTGCGGAAGCGAGTTCAAGAGCTCAGGCAACAAGTGAGTCACGGTTGTCGTGATCCGGTCACCCCAGCAGTTCCACGAAGCGAAATTGAAGGATGCTTATGCTATCAGATAAATATATTATGAAACTTCATTTTCTATACGGTAGACTCTCGTTAAGCGGAACCAAAAGGGACAAGGAAAGCATGTTCCGTTCTAACAGGAGTTACATTTACCAAGAGAGAAATGAACAGGGGAGCAGAATGCAACTATAAAACCAATCTCATTAGTCATAGTGGTTTTATTTAAGCAGCGATTCTAATTTAAAAATTTCGTTTAATGAGAGTCTACTGTAGATTTTTTTCCTACATTTTGTTTTATGTTTCTTTGCGTTCATTGTTGTGCATATGCACACCGATTTTGTTCCCTGAAAAAAAAAAAAAAAGTGGCTTACTTAGTGCATTTTCTGTCTTACTTTCTCTCTCTCTCTTTTTTCTTTTTCTTTCCTTTATGCACATACCATTCCAAGTGTTTTTTACAGCTGTGAAAGAAAACGTACACTTACTGAGCACACTTCTCCAATAATGTCAGGCTGAGCCTTAGAAAATTTGCGTGTTATGTGGTTTTGTTGAGGGAAGTCCCTTACAAAAATTGATTCAGGCAGTCTAGAAAGTCTGCCCCGCCGTGGTGGTCTAGTGGCTAAGGTACTCGGCTGCTGACCCGCAGGTCGCGGGTCCGAATCCCGGCTGCGGCGGCTGCATTTCTGATGGAGGTGGAAATGTTGTAGGCCCGTGTGCTCAGATTTGGGTGCGCGGGCCTACAACCATAAGTGTATTCAAAACACGGCGGTCATGAATCGACCTATGGATCTTGGGTCAACAGTTCGCAGGCTATTCTACCATGGCCTGTAAACTTTCTACCACCCCTGTACATATTACCTGCACACTGTTGAATTCCTGTTTGATTAAAAGCCTGTAATAGGGGCTAATTTGAGGGAGACGCTCTTGACATCGGCAAATACCTGTAACTACGCTCGTATGTGGCGGATTCTAAAACGTTTGCAGCGTGTCATTCGTGAAGCACCACACGGTAATACACTCAAACCTCATTATAACAAAGTTACTGCTTCAACAAAAATAAGTTTCCCCGCCGCGGTGGTCTAGTAGCTAAGGTACTCGGCTGCTGACCCGCAGGTCGCGGGATCGGATCTTGGCTGTGGCGGCCGCATTTCGGGTGGAGGCGAAAATGCTGTAGGCCTGGGTGCTCAGATTTGGCCAGGTGTTCAAAAGTTTGGGAGCCCTCCACTACGGCGTCTCCCATAATCATATGGTGGTTTTGGGACGTTAAACCCCACATATCAATCAATCATCTAGACAGTCTAAAAGATTGGTTTAGACATTCTAGTCTGTTGATTGTCTAAAGCTAATTATTTGTGGGATAGGCAGTACCACAGATGTGAATTATTTAGGCTTCTCACAGTCCTACTCATTTCGGTTAGCTGTGTTCTCCTGTTAAAAATCCATCCCATCTGCAGTACTTTTAAAGAATAATTGTGGGGTTTTATAGGTGAACTGAGCATTCCTTTTATATTGGTTAAGAGATTTTTTGTAGCTACAAGGACTAAAGCAGCTGCATTGTTTGGATTGTTGAATGTCATTAGATATTGGCATTTTCTCCTCCTTTTGAAACTATGTTTCAAGGGGTTTACTCTATGCCCAGCTGGTGCTGAAGCCTAGCTCAGATTCCTGCCACACACAGTTGTACTGTGCATGTGTCACTGTCTCCTTTATATAGACCGAGTCATCGCTGATACAGCGGGTTTGGGCAAATAAGGCCAGCACTTAGGTCAACAAAGAACACTTTAAGGGGGGACGCGGTTTTGGGATCGCGCAAAATGGTAAAAAAATTGATTTTTTTGAAACTAATGTTTTCAGTTTTGGAACCCTTTTTCTATGTGGTTCCAAAATATCTACTCTAAAAACTGTGCTGAAGTGCTTCGGAAAATACGTTTTACCCGCCTAGGTAGCAAAACTTTTTCTGGAAATGGCGAGAAAGCGGCTATTTTCAAAAAATTATAGCTTCGCGATGCTTAGGCCGGGAGCCGGCTTCTTGGGCTCATCTGAAAGAGCATTTCTCCGTGTTCAACTCCGTGAGCAACTGTTTGCTCCGAAAGCCAGTTTTGTTGCTCCAAAACGCATTTTGTCTGCTCCAAAAGCTGTTCCAAAGCAGCCCAAGTACCGTAATTACTCGAATCTAACGCGCACCTTTTTCCGGTTAAGCGAGTTCATAAATCGCATGCGCGTTAGAATCGAGTACGAACAAAAAAATTGCGGTCAATCTAGTGCCATCGACAAATTCAAAATGGCCGCCCCCTACATGCGTCGGCATGGCGCGTCGGCCATTTCTGCCTATGTGTTTCCCATGTGCGGCACTTCGTACGTGTGCTGAGGAGTTCGTCATCTAGTAGTGCATTAGCATCGACGGCGTGGAAGAACCGACTCCAAAAACTCGAGTGCACCACGATGCCGCTTTTAAAAGAAAAGTCATCGCGTGTGCAGAAACGGACGAAAATCAGGCCGCATCGCGGTCGTTCGGAGTTCCGGAAACGTGCGTGCGGGACCGGCGGAAACAAAAGCAGAAGATTGTCGACAGCAAAGCTTCACGCAAATGCTTCAGTGGACCACAGCAGAGTCGGTTTCCGCAAATTAAAGAGCTGCTCGGCGAGTATGTGCTTGAGCAGCGAGCGGCACAGCGGCCCGTGACGACAGAACTGCTCCAAGTGCGGGCTATGCAATTGGTCTTAGAAAAAGGTCTAATGCGGAGCCAGTTTAAAGCGAGCAGGTGCTGGCTAACTAACTTTACGAAGAGAAAAGGCTTTTCCCTCCGAAGGTGAACGGGCATATGCGAAAAGTTTTGTGGAGGAGTACGATGAAAAGCTTCACAGTTTTCAGAGGTTCGTCCTAAACTTGCGGCGCAACAACGACTACCTGCTTGGGCAAATCGGGAATGCCGATCAGGCGCCCCTTTACTTCGACATGCCTGGCACCACAACCGTCGAGAAGAAGGGGGCGAAGCAAGTTCGCGTGCTGACATCGGTCCACGGTAAAACTACAGTGACGGCAATGCTCTGTTACACGTCAGATGGGCACAAGCTTCGCCCGTACCTCATATTTAAATGGAAGACGCTCCCGAAAGGAGTCGTTTTTTCGAGTGGTGTGATCATGCGGGCCAGCGAGAAAAAATGGGTGCGCGTTGCAATCGATGTCTTACGTTTTTTTTTTTTTTTTCGTCGGGGAAATCGGGTGCACGTTACAATCGAGGGCGCGGTAGAATCGAGTAAATACGGTAAATAAAGCACAATTGTCCTTTCTCCACCATCTCCAGTTCGGATCATATCAGCGTAATTTTAACTCGTATGCCTAGATCAGAGCCCGTATTACATATTGTTACGAGATGAGATGAAATGGCGTTGTGAAAGAGCAGCGTACTTCTGAGACAGACCTAGAACGCTTCTATCCAACCACACAGTCCAGGCGTCGCTCCACTACTCTTCTTCTTCTTCCGCACCCCGTAGGCTCGCGCATCTTCATTTCAATATTTTTAGAGGCAAGATTCGTTGCTACATGATGTGGTTATTTTAAGCAATTGCAAATACCAATTATTATACTAAAAAAAAATTCTTGTCTCATTTGTGTTCGTGAGTACTGTGCATGTCACGACCATTTTAGCCCTTCAGGTGCGAAATATGATGCACTGTCCGGAAACATTTAAATTTCCCGCAACATATTTTTAAGATGTCGTCACCATTTTAATATTTAACCTCTTGTAATCTTTGCAGGAGCACATGTTTTCGACTGCCAATGATGTAACAGCATGCGGTACTTGGTCATGGTTTATGTAAATAGATCATGTTCTTTTAAACAAGGTTAGTTGTGAGAAGGTTCTGTGTGGCGTGTAGTAGTACTTCTTTTTGTGTTCTTGTTATAGCGCTGCCTATTTTATAGGCAGTTTTTGTCAGTTCTTGTGTGGCTGATGCAGCATGTGGCAGCAAGCTGTTGCTTTCGTGCCAATAAACCCTAATAAAGCTAACGGGGTAAGCTATAAAAGCATTGCTTTCCGCTAGGCTCGTGCCCTGGGTCTCCTTGGTGGCCAGTGGAAGGGAAGCAGCAGAGGGGGTCCCTCGGGTCGCCGAGGGGCGCTCAGAGGAGGAGGCCGTGGAGGTGGCGCTGCCCTGCGACGAAGCCTCAACGTCATTGACCACCGGCCACGCAAGGTGTTCGTCCAGGGCATGGACGAAGGGGACAAGGAGAACCTACAGGCGCACTTTGCGGTGAGTTTCTGGCCTGCCAAAGTGGTCCCCCACTTGCCGGTCTTCTCAAAACTTCTCAGGCTGAAGTATGCAGAGTTATTCAATCAGACCAGCTGCGAAATTCCGTCATGAGACCGTCATTGCCACGGACGAGTTTACGGAGATTTGGAAGCTGATGCGCCACCTAGGGGCAATCTCAGGAAACACACCGCATTCTCACGGTCTCTGCAGTATTTGTTGTTGTTGAACTAGTTGCCATAGCAGCAGTCAAGGGAGACACCTTCAATAATGGTTTGAACTCAATTGATGCATTGTCGTCATAGAAACAAAAGCTGCAAGCCTACGAACGCTGCTCGCTTCATCATAAACACAACCCTCGGCTTGAACATAAAAATGCAATTTATTGGGTTGACCTGCCACGGTGTCCAAGTGGTTATAGTGCTCGACTGCTGTGGCAACATCTTTCATAGAGGCTAAAATGCTTTAGGCTCGTTTACTTAAATATTATTACACATTAAAAAAACCTCAGCCATTTGTAATTTACAGAGCCCTCTCTCGCGGCATCTCTCATAAGCATTTGGTTTGGTTCGGTAAGCGACAATTACTATCATGTATTTATTGGCTTGTCTCACACACAGCGAAAACCACAATCGGTAGACCTCTGTAAATACAGTAAATGAAATGTTCGAATTTTCATACATGGATCCTGTGGGTGGCCTTGCACGTCTTAATTTTCGAATACTGCCCCACCGCGGTGGTCTAGTGGCTAAGATACTCGGCTGCTGACCCGCAGGTTGCGGGTTCAAATCCCGGCTGCGGCGGCTGCATTTCCGATTGAAGCGGAAATGTTGTAGGCCCGTGTGCTCAGATTTGGGTGCACGTTAAAGAACCCCTGGTGGTCGAAATTTCCGGAGTCCTTCACTACGGCGTCTCTCATAATCAAATGGTGGTTTTGGGACGTTAAACCCCACATATCTATCAATCAATCAATCAATCAATCAATCAATTTTCGAATACTCTAACCATAAGTGTATTCAAAACACGGCGGTCATGAATCGACCTATGGATCTTGGGTCAACAGTTCGCAGGCTATTCTACCATGGCCTGTAAACTTTCTACCACCCCTGTACATATTACCTGCACACTGTTGAATTCCTGTTTGATTAAAAGCCTGTAATAGGGGCTAATTTGAGGGAGACGCTCTTGACATCGGCAAATACCTGTAACTACGCTCGTATGTGGCGGATTCTAAAACGTTTGCAGCGTGTCATTCGTGAAGCACCACACGGTAATACACTCAAACCTCATTATAACAAAGTTACTGCTTCAACAAAAATAAGTTTCCCCGCCGCGGTGGTCTAGTAGCTAAGGTACTCGGCTGCTGACCCGCAGGTCGCGGGATCGGATCTTGGCTGTGGCGGCCGCATTTCGGGTGGAGGCGAAAATGCTGTAGGCCTGGGTGCTCAGATTTGGCCAGGTGTTCAAAAGTTTGGGAGCCCTCCACTACGGCGTCACTCATAATCATATGGTGGTTTTGGGACGTTAAACCCCACCTATCAATCAGTCAACAAAAATAAGTTTGTTATATCTGAAAATTTATTGTAATGGTATATTCCTAACACTACATCTATTGCAAGACTGTCTTTTATTTGCTTAGATATAACAGGTATTTTGTTATATCCGGGTGTCACACAGGTCCCGTTAAATAGGGAGGCGATCGCCGGGCTAATTCCAAGGGCTGAAGTATCGGCCCCCCGAACCGCACCACGAAAGCGTGGACAATATAGAAGTGGTCCTTTTTGGCACGCCAGCGGACGCCGGCTGTGGCCTAAAGAACAAGTCAGAGCCGAGAGTTGATAAACAAACAAATTATATTCTCAATAATGGCAGATCGAAAACAATACACAAAAATGCACACTCCACAATAGTTGCATACAATATGTCACCAATCAAACCAATCAAACAACGTACTACACAGTACAATCAGCCACACTCGGAACAACGGACACAGACAACAATATCCACTACAATGTAGTCTCATGCATTGAACAACCAAGACACTTAAAGACTAAAGAGTTAGAAAACTTATTCAGTCCAAAGTCCTTGGAACAAAATTCTGAACGATACTCTTCCGAGAATCACTCACTCAAAGTCCAGCGTTGTTGTCGTTCCGTCGCCCCTGAAGTTTCTCTTCCAGGAAACCTCACGTCTTCAATAGGCCACTCTCCAAGCTTCAAACTTCTTCGCCAGAACACGTCGGCTTCACACACGCAGCTGTTGCCACGCGTCTTCGCTCGATAGCGGTAAACACACACTCTTGCCTGTAGCTCGAGCCTTCACCCCTCAGGTGGAAATCCTCTTCATCTCCTGCTTTGTCTCTACGGACAAAACCTTCGCCGACTACACGGCGGTTCACCCTACGCGCTCTGGTGCTAACTTCCGTCTTCTCCTGATCTCTCGTCTCCGCTGCTCGGTTAAATACCTTCCGCACGACATTCCAGAAAGTTCTCGTCATTTCGTCGGCGCGATACGCAGCGAAGGCTGGGTAGGGGGTGAGACGGTTCGAATGCCCTTCGCGATAGATGACTCAACCCGGCGTGACCACGCCTCTTTCGTTCTAGAATTCTCGCGCGCTTGCTCGGCCGCCGATGTGGGGTGAGGAGGTTCGTGGGCGAAGCCACGCTTCCGAGGGGAGAGCGCACACCCGGGGAGCCTTGGATGTTTGTTTTCTTTTTTTTATTTTTTTTTATTTTGACCTCCTGGCGTCCCCCCCGCGCGTTATCGCAAGAATTTGGCGGCGCGCCCATTTTTAGCGCTCGTTCTGTGACTCTGCCCCCCACTTTCACAATATTATCTCATAATATTCAAAACCACACAAACGAGCGCGAACAGTCACCACACCTCTCACAGACTGTAACACAATCCGGCGCTCATGACACTTCACATTCACAATAGATCACTCAATACAACTGTGTATTGTAATTCAATTCCACGACACATGAAATATAGCCACAGGTACATGACTACAACACTTCATCACACATTCCAAACAATACAAATGTATGAAGTTCTCTCATTACAACAATTACTATACTCACATCATTACTATACATCACATCACTGTAACAAACATTTTGACTCACTCAACATACAGTTGCGACACAGGACAACAAGAACACTAACACAACATATGGCACTCAGCCCTGCCAAACACAATGCGATTCCACCTCAGCACCTATCCTGTGTATTTCGAGCTGCGCTTGCGTCCTTTCTTGCGGTGCTCGCTCGATCTCTTCTTGTTTTTCCTTGTTCTTTTTCGGCGAGCCTTTTCCAAAGACGGGGTCTGAGGCGGCGTCTCAGCCATCGTTGTCACTTCTGACACTGTTAACGGGTGATAACGCTCAACCGATCCTGTCACCCGCTTGTTCATGTCACGACATTGGACCTGGCTGGCCGACTCCGTCACCTTTGCACTGTCTGTCGGTTGAGGTCGTGCCGACGTAAGTCCAGTTGCTCGACCCGTGAACTCATTCAACACGATCATCTTCTCATTCACGGTCTCTTGTACCGCAGCTTCACCTTGGGCTCTAGTGAGATCCGTCACGGGCGGCTCCTCCCTTGTATCTCGCGGTCGCTGGGTTGGCGTGGACTCTATCTTAGCGTCTTCTCCCAAACATTCCGGATCATTCGGTCCTCGCGCCCCGTCGATGTTTCCGATGACGAGGTCGTAAAGGGGGGTCGTCATGCATAAAGCAGTAACCTTCCCGCTGAAGTACGGGGTTTCAACCTCAATCTCTGCTTCGGGAAGCATCCGAACCGTACGGTCAATTAGGCAGACCGGTTTCGTTCTGCCTGTCAACTCGCTTTCCCGTACCAAATTTCTCCGCACGATAACCGTGGAGCTACCGGTGTCTCTTAGAACCGTAATCTTCTTGCCTGCAACCTTACCAGGCAGCGTTGGCATTCCCTTCGTAACACCGGTTGGCTGTTTTGACATTACCGCACCCACAATAGGAATTTTCTCCCCATTCTTCAACTCTACGAATCCATCGGTGACGGCATTATTATCAGATTTCGGTGCCGCTTGCACACAGGATACCTGGTGAGTTTGACTCACTCCGTTTCGACATGCGTCTGCTTTGTGCCTAGTCTGACCACACTTAAAACATTTTACTGCCGTAGGGCTCGTAAAGATCGTTCGACAGTTTTTCGCGCGATGACCCACTCGGTTGCACAGAAAACATTGCGGAATGCTCTCTGGTGCACGCTTCTTTTCTTCGGGAGCCGATTTCTTCGAATCTTTAGGACAATCCTTCTTGACCTTGGCCAAATTAGTTCCACCTTGCGCTTCCAAGAATTGATCAGCCAATTCAAGCATTCCTTCAAGTGACTCAGCCTTCCTCTCTTTCAAATACAGCGACAGGCTTGGGTGGCAACTAGTAAGAAATTGTTCTCTAATTAAGAGCTCTCTAAGTTCATCGTACTCCTGCGCTGTCCCTGAAAGTTCAATCCATCTGTCGAAATAATGGCTAAGTCGGGCGGCGTACTGTGTAGCCGTCTCACCATCAGCTGGCTTTCCTGTCCAAAATCTGTCCCGGAATCCTTCTACAGTAAATCTAAATCGCTTCAGCAAAGCAGCTTTCACCTTTGCATAGTTGGCTGCATCGGTCGGCGTCAGCCTACCGTACACACTGAGCGCTTCACCACTCAAGCAAGTACTCAAAGCAGTTGCCCATTGATGTTCCGGCCAATTCTGGCTCCTCGCAATCGTCTCAAATCTGTGAAGGTACGGGTCAAGGTCGTCCTTCCTCTCATCAAACGCTACGAGCAGCTTGTTTGGGTTCAAGCGGAAGCCATGATCTTCCCGTTCGCTGCTTTCAACTCTAGGTTGGACGGGAGTTTCACTTCGCTGTTGCAAACGGAGCCGCTCGAGTTCTATCTCGTGCTGTCGCTGCCGTTCCCTTTCCTCTCTTTCTTCTTTCGTCCTCTCCGCTGCCAGTCTTTCTCTCTCCAGCTCCAACTTCAATTGCTGCTCTCTTTCTTCTCTCGCCCTTTCGGCTGCCAACTTTTCTCTCTCCAGCTCCAATTTCAATTGCTGCTCTCTTTCTTCTTTCGCTCTTTCAGCTGCCAACCTCTCTCGCTCCAACTCAGCTGCTTTTTCTTCCTTGGCCCTCTCAGCTGCCAACCTCTCTCGCTCCAACTCAGCTGCTTTTTCTTCTTTGGCTCTCTCAGCTGCCAACCTATCTCTCTCCACCGCCTCTTTCTCCTTCTGGCTTACCCACTTCCGTAGTTCGGGGCCAGAAAGACCCATCTTCTCACCTAGAACAACTAACTTTTCGAGATCCATGGTGTCTCGCAAATAAAACCTTGCCGCGTGTAAAAAGTATCTGCCTAAATCAGTCTATCGTAACACTCCCCTGCACTCATTAACGAGAACACTGAACAACACACAAAATCGTTCCGATAGCACTATCAACAACTCGAGGCTCTTTCCTACTACTTTGGACACACTGTGCACCAAAAGGTCCTGTCGCGGACGCCAGATTAATTGTCACACAGGTCCCGTTAAATAGGGAGGCGATCGCCGGGCTAATTCCAAGGGCTGAAGTATCGGCCCCCCGAACCGCACCATGAAAGCGTAGACAATATAGAAGTGGTCCTTTTTGGCACGCCAGCGGATGCCGGCTGTGGCCCAAAGAACAAGTCAGAGCCGAGAGTTGATAAACAAACAAATTATATTCTCAATAATGGCAGATCGAAAACAATACACAAAAATGCACACTCCACAATAGTTGCATACAATATGTCACCAATCAAACCAATCAAACAACGTACTACACAGTACAATCAGCCACACTCAAAACAACGGACACAGACAACGATACGCACTACAATGCAGTCGCATGCATTGAACCACCAAGACACCCAAAAACTAGAGAGATAGAAAACCTATCCAGTCCAAAGTTCTTGGAACAAAAGTTGGGATGATACTCTTCCGAGAATCACTCACTCAAAGTCCAGCGTTGTTGTCGTTCCGCGCCCTCGAAGTTTCTCTTCCAGGAAACCTCGCGTCTTCAATTGGCCACTCTCCAAGCTTCAAACTTCTTCGCCAGAACACGTCGGCTTCACACACGCAGCTGTTGCCACGCGTCTTCGCTCGATAGCGGTAAACACACACTCTTGCCTGTAGCTCGAGTCGTCACCCCTCAGGTGGAAATCATCTTCTTCTCCTGCTTTGTCTCCACGGACAAAACCTTCGCCGACTACACGGCGGAATCCCTACGCACTCTGGCGCTAACTTCCGTCTTCTCCTGATCTCTCGTCTCCGCTGCTCGGTTAAATACCTTCTGCACGACATTCCAGAAGGTTCTCGTCATTTCGTTGGCGCGATACGCAGCGAAGGCTGGGTAGGGGGTGAGACGGTTCGAATGCCCTCCGCGATGGATGACTCAACCCGGCGTGACCACGCCTCTTTCGTTCTTGAATTCTCGCGCGCTTGCTCGGCCGCCGATGTGGGGTGAGGAGGTTCGTGGGCGACCACGCTTCCGAGAGGGGAGAGCGCGCGCCCGGGGAGCCTTGGATGTTTGTTTTCTTTTTTTCTTTTTTTTTCTTTTTTTCTTTTGACCTCCCGGTGTCTCCCCCGCGCGTTATCGCCAGAATTTGGCGGCGCGCCCATTTTTAGTGCTCGTTCTTTGACACCGGGTTTGTTATATCGAGGTATGAGTGAAGTGAGACTATTCCATGAGAACACAAAAGTGTAGCAGGGCCCCTTAATGACCCACGTTTCCCCATAGTATCGCACATTTCTGACATCCTTTACCTCTTATAACTTGTAGCCTACTATTAGTTTTCTCTACATAATTTGTCAGCGAGTGATGTTATTCTTGTCATACCTGTGTGTGGTGTTTAGCAGTCAGATTCCCTTTGTATCAATTACAAGAGCTTTTTCTTTCATTAACTATTTGCAGCAATTTGGCGAGGTGGAAGGTGTCGAGCTTCTCAATTCCGGTCTTGTAATTACATTCAAGACACGGAAGGATGCGGAGCTGGTAAGAGCTTTGTTTGAAATTTTTAATTTATGAATATTAATATGCAGTAACACAGATGATGCATTCTCTAAATTGTGCTTCAACTCTTCCCAATATTTTCGTAGTCTTTATGAATTTGGCTTTGTTTTATAAGTTAGTGAATGTTGCATTGTTTAGTAAAAAAATATAGTGGTGTGGGAATCTTTGAAATATTGAATGTTTTTCAAATAGTGTTCACTATTCTATTCAATCCACGCTGGAATGTTACCATTTGAACTATTTGAGCTTCCTGAATCCAAATACAGTCAACGTCAGATTGAAAATGATCCCTTCAAAGTAGGCTTGTATGAATATTCGCTTCGAATATTCAAATGAATAGTAGAGTATTCCAATTCGCTTCGATTAGAATTTAAAGTATCGAATATTTCGAAGTACATATCCGACATGAACAAATAAATGTATACTAAACACCGCCTGTAAAGGTGGTTTCACAGCAGTATAGTAATGATAAGCCGTGAAAGCATTTATTTAAGAAAAATTTGCTTCGCCGCAAAGCCCCACTTGAAATTTAAAGGGACCCTGCATCACTTTTTGAGCATGGTCAGCAAATGCTGCCGATTGGTAGTTGAGGCTACCAAGAACACGTGAGCTAAACATTATAGCGCAGCACGTGACTTGGAATTCACAATAAATTCTTATAGCGGTGCTAAGCCATGAAAGCACCTATCCAGGGAATATTTTCTCTGCTGCGAAGCCCCACTTGAAATTTAAAGGGGCCCTGCAACACTTTTTCAGCATGGTCAGCAAATGTTGCCGAGGCTACCGAGAACACGCGAGCTAAATATTATAGGGCAACACGTGACTAGGAATTCACAATAAATTCTTAAAGTCAGATAAAATTGGTCTCTTCTCTCGGCAAATGACGCCACAATGTCAAAAATCGCTCGTCACAGCCATTGTACGAGCCATTGGCTGATTTGAGCATGGGCGCTCGGTCGTTACTAGGGCTGCTGCGGGTGGCCAGAACATGTCTGCGCGTACAAGCATGATCGCACTGAAAAGCCGCATATTCAAAGAAAAAAAAAACGGAAAATGAAAGAGTGCTCAAGGTCACGACACGCACGTGACATATTTTCTTTCCCTATGCCATCTTTCCCGGCCTTGCTTCAAGCGCTTTCGTCGGGACAAGAAGAAAGAAGGCAACTCCAGCGTGTGGCAAATTTTCGCGGTGGTTAATTCATAAGCAAATAAGCTTCTTTAGTGAATCCATTTCATGGCAACTTGAAAAACTGTTGCAAGGTCCCTTATATGAGCATATTATCCTCAAAATCGATTGATTATTTTTTAAGCTTAAAAAGCTTGTTATGTCGGCATATACACCCAAGCTGTAATGAATAGTGTTATGTATTTTACAGGTTATGACTTGCATCCTACTGAAAGTTAAATTCGGCTATTTCTCAAAGTTGTTTCGACTTCCTTTGAAGGGAAAAAAAAAATAAAGAAAGCTCTTACATAGAGGCTTTGTTAAAAAGATATTGTGCAAGTTAGTTAGGTCATAATAAATATGCCCATTTTTCTTTTTGCAATATATATTCTGTTCAAATTCGATTTGAAGTTATTTGATTAATTTCACTATTCACTTCCAACCTAAAATTCACTATTTGCACAAGCCTACTTCATAGTTTTAGTATGCTTCACCTCATTGCACTTTCATATTGCGGCAGAGCACTGTCTTGTTTGCCACATTATTGAGGTTTTTACAGAAGTTGGAAGAGAGGTTGAGGAAATAGCATCGTTGCTTTTCACATTCGTGTTATCAGCAATTCTGGTTGCACCACATCATGTACATAAATACTTTCGGCATCTGCATTGTTTCATTCTTGATAAGACAACTACAAAATGCCACCCCGCCAGCACTTCATCAACCAAGGAAAAAAAAAAAACACTTTCACGTTGCCATCTCACAAGATTATGCTTAGAACTCTTCTCCAACTTTCTTTTTTCTGCAATTTCACTTTGAAGCATTCGTATAATGTGCTGGAAATATTTGAAAACTGTTCTTTTCAATTAGCCCCCACACTTCAATGTTTGAATTTGCTTCACACCCAGAATATTGCTATTCACACAGTCTCGTCAAAACGTTTTATTTGTGGGTCCTCAGTTTATCAATTGAAGTCACCTGATGGTTAAAGGACATCGGGAGGGTGCTTAGAACTTCTAGCAAGTTTACACAGACATGTTTTTAAAGCAGATGACATTCGTGACTTCAAAATCACTGACAAAGTTTGTTGTGTTTAAAGCAATGTGTTGCCTCTCAGTATCTGCTGCACCAGGTTTGTTTCAGAGTGTAGACAGCAGTTAGAATTTAACTTAATCATGTGCATATGTACTGTTCCTAAAGCAGAATGTGAGAATGCCACCCAAATTGTGTAAATCTGTGCCATGCTGCCAAGCAACATTGTTATTTCAACTTTAGTCATTTTTGTATAGTCTGTGTTATGCCTAACTCGGTTCGCTTCAGATTGGCACATGTATGAATGTCTAGTACTCTTTAGATAATGACTGCTTCTCTTTAGTATGGATTGCCACAATGCAGTCGTTTTTTTGCAGTGAAACATTTTAAAACTGTAAAAGGACCACCCTTACTGAGCATAAATGTTTACTTTAATTATACGTGCATGCACATGGCATAATTGCATTACAATTGTGAAGATGTCTTGTAACTTCATTAGCAGCTATTTCGAGCAGCTTTTGATGTAGTGGTGGCTTTGGAAAATAAATTTAAGCAGAAGTGATGGGTGTCACTTAATCGCAGAGTGAATACATTCGAACCCCGCTACAACAAAACTGACAGGCCACGGGAAAAATTTCGTTGGAGTGAAAATTTTGTTGCAGTGAAATCGAAAAATATACCTGATCTGAGCTAGCAAAACAAAAGAACTTTTATTTCCCAAATTCAAAAAGTGCCGATTGCTTCCTTTTCTTTCCCCGCAGGGTCACGACGTGATTCTCACCCATGCATAACAACATCGTGGTGAAACGCACAATGAAATAATGGCCACAACGGCTTTCGTAAAGAAACCTAACAGTTGCACTGACATGCTAACACCAGCAGCTATGCGCTGTCACAGTATGTCCGACAGTGTCGAGATAAAGGCGTGGTATCGTGGAGCGGTGACTTATGCCTTATTCTATGCTATTCTTATGAGACACCAGTTGGGGCTGGCTAATTTTGTTAATAACGCGGACGAAGAGCCAATTTTGACTTGTGACCATGCTGGCCGAGTGCGAAAAGAACCAAAAGCATTTGCATTGGAAAAGGCATCATTTCACGATTGGGCCCAGCAGCTTCAGGTAGGAAACTATGAACTGAGCTTCAGCTTCATATTGTCTGTGGCTCAGAAGCAAGCTAGTGGCAAAAGCAGGGCAGTCTCATTGCTGTCGCTGTTGAGCAATGGCGTCCTCCATGGTTGGTAAACAGTGGCAGTTTCTGGTGGTGCCAACGTGCATTTATTTTCGTATTTTCATGTCCTGAAAAGGCATCAAAATGTTCAATATTGTTTTACTGTACAGCATTAAATATCAGAGCCTGAATTTGCATCGTGAAATTTCGTTGAAGCGGAACGGCAGAAGAAAAAGTGTTTTGGCGAAAATACTTATGCATCGACTCCTATGGACTGCTGATGGGGAACCAAAAATTTTTCATTGTAGCAGAAGTTTTGTTAAAACAGCGTTTGTTATAGTAGGGTTCGACTGTAGCATGACAGCGTCACGATGACACTGTAGCAGTGTTGTGAAAACACATCAAGTACAGTCAATGTCCAATTTCCCCGATCCTCAAGGGACCACGAAAACCTCTGGAAAATCAGGAAATCCCGAGAAACAAATGCACGCGAAAACACAATTTTCAATGGGTAATTTTCGCTACAGAGGGGGTCGTGGCAAGAGTACAAGGTTCTCATTGCAATTCAGCAAATGCATCATTTAGGTGGCTTTGAGAAGAGCTGAAAGAAAAAAAAAAGAAAAGAAAAAAATCTGATGTGGCCGCCACTGTTACATTTCTAAACACTTAGGAGCAAAAAAATAAAGTCACTTAGTTTTGTTTGCACAGTTTTCTACTTGCCTGTGATGATGTCTGTCTCAATTTTCAGTTAACGTCATGCTGTCACTGCACACCAGTGACAGAGTCAGTGCTCGCGTAAACTCCGAGCTCGGCTGTGTAGGCGCTGCCTCTTCGATCTTGGTGTCGTCGGAATCCTCTGTAACTGGATGAATGATGTCATCATCGATAATTCCGCACGCAGCTCGAGGTCAGCATCAGCGAACCCTTCAAGGTTCATCCCGGCTGGAATTAAAACACCGGCAACCTGCAGATAGTTGAAGGCAACGTTCGCGGGTGGAGGTTCGTCAAACACCCTATCAACTCCTGGCAAAACGGCCGTCTCGGCGTCCAGTATGAAGCTCGCATGGTGAAAACAGTTCCGAAAGAATCTCGGTGTTGTCGGAATCCTCGTAACTGGATGAATGATATCATCATCGATGAATTCCGCACACAGCTCGAGGTCAGCATCAGCGTTGGCGAAGCCCTTAAGGGTCATCCCGGCTGGAATCGAAACACCGGCAACGTGCAGACGGTCGAAGGCAACGTTCACGGGAGGAAGTTCGTCAAACACGCTGTCCACTCCAGGCAAAACGGCCGTCTCGGCGTCCAGTATGAAGCTCGCGTGGCGAAAACAGTTCTGGAAGGTCTGTTGCGTGACCGCTTTTCCTGAGTCTGCAAGCATGCCAACGGCAGAGCATAGGTCAACAGCGTAGTTTTTGCCACTGTCGGAGCACAGGCTGCACAACACCATAACAGCACCATGCGGCCTACGCTACAGCTGGCAACGGATTGCGGCATTTTCGGTTTCAAGGGTATGGCAGCCGCGCCGTGGTGGGTTAGAGCATCCAAAAATGACAAAAATGACGGCTTCGATAGCGACTTTGAGTGTGCGGTTAGCGGTAGAAAGTCCGGAAAATCTGATGGCAAAAGCTACAAACATCTGAAATTTCGGACTTTTAATAAATTAACTCTATGGGGAACTTGACGGTGCCTAGTTGAGTCCGGGAAATCGAAAATGTTTGGAATTTCGGGCGTCTGAGAAAGCGGACAGCGACTGTATCTTAATATGCGCACTTTTTCATGGATATCCTTAAAGGCATGACATTTCTCCTGATGAAGCATGCACATGTGTAGTACAAATTGTGGAGGATCGCTTTTAGTACTAGGGTCATGTAGTTTGAATTCTGTCATCAGAATGTTTACGTCTTTATTTACAGTTATCCTATGTACATGTGCACCTTACTGACATTGTTTGCACATGCATGTGGATGGGTGGATGAGTGATATCAAACCGTAACCCGGGTGAGATCAGGCCAGAAAAAAGAAGATTGCTCATTTGAAACTAGTGATGCTATTCGAAGAAGTCCTATTCACATTTATATAACAAACCTTTTTATTTTCTCTTTTTATAAATCGTACTTATTTTAGGTCTCAAGAGACTCGTCAATAATTGCAAGTGTAAATATGCTCTGTCTCAGTGCCGTTACAGTGATTCTGAAAATTTGTAGAATTTGCTCCGAAGAAACTGTTCTTGGAAAAAAATAATACAGTGAAATCTCGTTGATTCTACCCCCATTCACACAGACTTTCGGTTGATTCGGCCACGGCATCTGGTCCCGTCCAAAATGTACATTGTTTTATGATTGAAAACTCTCATTAATTCGGATGAATTCAGCCGCGCTACAGTTAATTCGAATGCCCGACCGCAGTTGAGACACGATGGGGAAGCAGCAGCGGATTCTGTTGGCCAAATCGACGGCGCACCTAAACAACTTTGGGATCAGATTGCAGCTTCTGAGATTCAAAACTTCGTCCATGGGTAGTACATCTCTGAGGCACCCCTTAAAAAAAAAAAAACATAGTGGTTTCAACAACCAAAATGGAAGGCAGTGCATCGCTACTGTCATAAGCAACGGGCATCCTACAGATTTGCCTTTGTGCCCGCGCGCGACCACCACGCGAGCGACGTAGGGATGGCTTTCCCTCTGTCTCCTGCGGCCCCAACTCCCGCAGCGAAGAGGGCAAAGTACGAAGCAAAGGTTTTGGCTGCGAAGGTGAAAATATTGCAGGTGTTGCAAGCAGGAGCATCTCGAAAAGAAGTGATGGAAAAGTTCAATGTGAAGAAAAGCATGCTGAGCACTTACGTGAAGAACGAAGAGCAGATTATACAAGCATATGACAAGGACTTGTTTGGTGACCAAAGAAAGAGGTTTCAAACGGCAGCGCATCCCAAGCTAGAAGGAGCGCTGTTGTGCTGGATTGCCGTTTCGTGCGATGCGCATTTGCCCTTGTGCGGCTCCCCTATCTGCGCACTAGCAGAGAAGTTTGCGGTGACCATGAACATTGACTTCTTCAATGCGTCGGAAGGCTGGTTCAACCGCTTCAAGGAGCGACATGGGCTGGTGTTCCACACCGTGTGTGGTGAAAGAGGTGCGGTTAACGTAAGTGTTGTGCTGAACTGGCGGTCTGGACTATCTACGCGCCTTTCTACGTACGAGCTGTGCAACATTTTCAACGCTGATAAGACAGCGCTGTTCTATAAGGTGCTGCCTGACAAGACAATCGCATTGAAAGGGGACTCCTGCGTCGGTGGAAAACGAAGTAAAGAGCTCGTGACAGTTCTTCTGGCTGGTAACATGACCGGCACAGAGCGGCTGCCACTGCTGGTGATCAGGAAGGCTGTGAAGCCAAGATGTTTTAAGAATATTAAGCAGCTGCCTGTCGACTACCGGTTCAACAGAAAGGCTTAGATGACTGCCGAACTCTTTCAAGCCTGGCCGCGTCAGCTCGACCGCCGCTTTTCGACCAAGGCTCAGAAGGTGTTGTTCGTGCTAGACAACTTTAGTGCGCACACGAAGGTGTCTAGGCTCGAGATAATTGAACTGCTATTCCTGCCTCCGAACACAACGGCTTCCCTGCAGCCGATGGACCAAGGAATCATACAGTCCGTGAAAAGCCGCTATCGACGGCAGGTACTCGAGCCGATGTTCCTCTGCATGGTGTCAGACAAGCAGTACGAAGTATGCCTGCTAAGCGCAATCCACATGCTGACATACGTGTGGAACAACACACCACCTGCGGTAGTCGCAAACTGTTTTAGTCATAGCAGCTTCGTGCACGACGTTGCTGATCCGGGGGTGGTGGCCGATGAGAAAACTGGCAAAGAGCAAGACGGCCGCTATCTGAGCGTCATGCCAGCTGATGTCCCCTGGGCTGTTACTTCAAAACTGACAGCAATGATGCCGTGGCCCACACAGTGACCAACAGCGATATCGTCGCCGAAGTATTGGACGGCGAAAGGGAATCGGCTGACAAGGACAGAAGTGATGCTGACAAGCGTCCACGCCGCACTATAACGGAGGCTGTGCATGGATTGGCCGTTTTGGAGGACATATGCATGCTTTCCTCGGACAGTGTGCGCGGACTAAGCCACCTGCAGGAACTTTGAAAAATTGTGACTTCATTGCACATTGCGTCCGTGAAGCAAACCGAGATCACAGACTTTTTTAAGAAATAAAAGTTAGATGGTGTAGGAGACATATTTCAAGTGTTTTGTTCGTACTCGTGATAATTCGTACCCTCGGTCATTTCGGACATTCTCTCCGGTCCCGTGAAGTCCGAATTAACGGGGTTTCACTGTAATTGCTGTTCGACAGAGGATACGCTGGCTAAGAAATGTTTGGTTCTTTTTGTAGAGGACATGCACAATGTCACTTGTGATGAACACTGGCATCTTTCTACTTGTGCAGGGTGTGTCTCAAGGGTCCGAGTTCAAGAACAGGCCATTGCAGTGGGCATGGTTCAAAGAACCATCAAGGACAGCTTCTACTAGCGATTCTGCGTCGGCATCGAACCTGGCTCAGGATGACTTGGCAGGAGATGACGAGGTTAGATGGCGTAAAATTTTTAACAGTGAAGCAGTTTTTAGTCGACATTTCCGCTTCAATTGATGGCATAGCACTGGTGACGTAGCCTCACAGTGAGGCAAGAGTGGGAGTCGGGTAAGAAGCAGAATGGCTGCACTGAGCCAAGATGGACGAGGGTGGTGCATGGTGGAAAGGGGAACAAATGAGAGGCATGTCTTGAGGGGGAAATATCAAAGCTCAGCAAAGGGTGAACCAGTGAGGGACACACCAAAGGTCCGTAAAAGTGTGCCTAACGAAGGGGGACATCAGCTTCGCTGTTTCGACAGTGTTCGTGAAAGGGGGAGCTGGCTGCATCTTTTTGCATCTTGGAAATAAAACGTGGTTCCCTGACAAACAAGGACAAAAGATGAAAAAAAAAAAAAGCGGACGACGACACAGGCGTATGTTTTCTTCCTTTGTCCTTGTTCATCAGTGCGCTTAAATTTACGCATTACAATGAGCCAAGGAGACCCTCTTTTGTTAAACTACAGGTTCTTTTTTTACATATTCACCAGATTTTGTCGCACCAAATGTCTGGACAAACAGGTGTTCCCTGGTTTCATATACCTCTCTTCGCATGCACAAATAGAATGTGTGCACTGTTAGTGATGGCCGCTTAAAAATTGGGCAGTGATGAAGCTCTGCCATCGATTATAAGTTGAATGCATAATGAAGTTTTGTCAGTGGCTGCTTTATTATACATCTCTGTTATAAATGCATTATGCTTAGGACAATGCTTACGGATAGAAAGGCAACAATTTGTGGCTGATCAATGCTCACTTTTATTAACACCATGTTCAGTTCATGTTGTATCAAAATAAGTTCGACACGAATAATTCCAGTAGAGCCAGTGTTACATTAAGCTGCTAGATTTGTAGTGGTGTGATGCGAATTTCAAACGGTAGCGCGTATCAGTTGTTATTGTGATGTTGCGTTTCAATCTGCGAAGACTGCACAGTCAATACTTTTTATGTACTGTGAATCATAGTACAGTAGGGCTCTGAATAATTCAAACTGAATATTCAAACTTTAGTTTTTCCCAAAAAAAAAAAAAAAAAGCGAGCTCTTCTCCAGCATGTTCTCGAGCTGCCGCTGGGAATGAGCCTCCACTACAACGGCTTTTTCGTGCCACCATTCTTTCAGCTGGTGTTGGCACTCTGTTTCTGTGAGTCAGGCACTTTTCGAATTGCGATTAGTGACTTGCCCTAGGCCACACTTCCATGCATCTTTATAAATGTGTGAAAAAATTACTGCGGCTATGGCACGAAAGAGAACGTGTTTCATTGTGGCAAAGGAGATAGTATTCTTATTCTTGTTTTTTTTATTAATGTGCAGCCACTTATTGTTCTAGATGTTAAAGGGACACTAAAGTCAAATAAAAATTTATGTCAGAGTGAAAGCTCAATGTATGACAACATCTAAAACGACAATATTATCAACAACAGTGCCCCACTTATTGAGAAGTTAAGGTAAATGCACAAGAACACAAATGCCATTGTAGGACATTTTCGAAATGATCCCGATGACATCAGACGGACCGCCTACAATTAATCACTAGTAATCGATCTAACTGCACCAAATAAAGAACCTTGCGTGCATCGAGAGACGCAACAAAATGCTGCTTGTTCGTTTGTTTGATTCATGGAAAAAAGAACCGCCGGGACGTTACTACAGTAAAAACCCATTAATTTGAACCGCAAGGGGAAGCCACCTCAGTTAGAATTAACGAAAGTTCGAACTAACAAAAGTGAAAAACAACAATAGTATACTGCGAGTAGGGCATAACAATTTTTTTTTTTTTAATCTGTGATCGCGGTCCGCCTTTTTTTTTTGAAGGCGACAGCCAGCACTTTTTGCTTTAATGAGCGAATTTGGCGGAAGGCCTCTTCTCCGCCTTCTTCAAAACTTAAGAAAAGACGGGCAGCATTCAATCCGGCCATGACATCCGCAGCAGAGGGCCGCACTGGTGCTTCGTGCTTCTCCTCATCATGGTCACTGGCAGCGACAGGTTCTGCATTTCTCACCTGACGTATTATGTCGCCATCCATGAGTGCAACACACACCACTGCACTTGAGTCTATATCGACGTAGTCCGCAAACCAGACGTCTTCCAAAACGTCCGCCATGGGGGCGATGACGCCGTGTTCGAGCACTGGTGGCTCGTCAGCTTGCAGAGCTTCAGTGCTGAAGCCACAGTGGCGAAAGCAATTTGCTATCGTAAGCGCTGTCACTTTGCTCACAAGCACGCACAAGCATGTGTAGTGCACTTAGGAGTGTCAGTTGGTAGTTATTGCACAAAATAATTCGTTCAAACATATGACACCAATAAAATTATTTTAAATTTCTAATTATACCCTGGTCCGTGGGCTGCAGTACCGCTGTCGTGTTTGCTGGAAGGAAGGCCAGCTCAATGGCCTTCGTCTCAATGTTGACTTTATGAGCCGAACAGTTCTCCACAAGAAGCAGGACTTTCCGGCCACAGTGTTCGAACTTCTTGTCAAGCTTCTCCAGCCACTGCGCAAACAATTTCCCCGTCATCCAGGCCTTTTTGTTGGTCGCGGAGTCTGATGGGAGGGACCGGATGTTCTTGAAGCAACGAGGACTTTTCGATTTGCCTATCACAAACAGAGGCAACTTCTCGGTCCCGGTCATGTTCGCAACAACCATCACAGTTATCCATTATCCATTCTTTACTTTTCTTCCCTCATGTGCACTTGTCGCATCTATTTGTGATAGTTTTGGGGGGCAGCAATTTGAAAAATAAGGCAGTTTCATCCGCATTAAATATGTCCTTCGGAGAATACTTCTCCATGTAGCCTTGAAGCACTTTGGAGCGCCAACCTTCGCACGTTTCTATGTTGGCAGCGTTCATTTCACCCAACACAGCATGGAAAATGAGGTCGTAGCGCTCGCGAAAACTGGTGCAACCACCCATCTGAAGCAGTGAAGTCGCCGTAGTCTAGCTGCAGGGCGTAGTCTGCTGCCTTTGCCAGTATGACTGGGCCACTCAGTGGTATGTCCTGCGAACGCATTTCCTTTATCCAAATGAGAAGCACTTTCTCGAGGTCAGGATGCTTTGCGGGCTGCAACCTACTTCTTTTGCTCGCAACTTCTGCCTCTAAGGCGTCTTCAATAGTCCTCCTATTTTTTATATGAGCAGATAGCATCGTTTTCGGTATCTCATGCTTTTTTGTGATATCTTGCTTAGGCAAGAGTCCGGCGTCCACTTCCCGCAGGATATCAGCTTTCTCCTGAGGTGTTTTGGCACGGTATTTGTCGCGGGCACACGCCATCAAGTCGGAGCAGCAGAATCGTCACAGACGGGAAGCTAGTACCGGCGCTACTGCAACAAACGTTAGCCAAGGCCTAACACCAACACAAAGAATCGCGACAGTCGGAAGCTACTCCCAGCACCAAGAACCAGGATGTACGACGCACAGCCTCAGTTGTTGCAGAGAAGGCTGGGCGAAGCTACGACGCACCCGATTTGCTGTGTGCTGGTCACGCCATCTGTCGTCTAACAACTGACAGCTATGCAGGATTTTCAAAGGCTCCGAGATTGGCGCTTAAAAAAAAAAAATCTTGGAGGTTACGTAGGACGGAGAGCAGGCAGCCGCCGAGAGAGAGAGATTGTAGAGGAGGGGCGAAGAGTAAGTTTTTCTCTCCGCTCCCTGTCAACGCCGCCTCAAAACTCGGCAGCCGCCCTATTGAGTGACTAGCCAAACCGCCGGCGCGGTGGCGCGTAGTTCAAATTATCTGCGGCTGAACCTACTCGCATTCGAATTAACGGGCTTTCTTTATTCATAGGCCTGTATGGAGCTTGGCCAAACCATAACTTACAGTTCGAATTAACGAGCTTTCACTGTATATGGAATGGCACGAGTGGTTCAAAAATTCAATTTTCGCCTGTTTACACGAGACAGGTGGTGCTATCTAGCAGGGCACAGTTGAAACATAACGTCTGCAATCTCGAAGCTAATGGCAGGAAATTGGTCAATGGTCATTGTTGCTGCTGTGGCTCCCGCTGCTTTCAGTCTGCTGTTTCTAGTGCAGTAAAGCCGGGCAACGCTGTGCATGGCAACAGTGACGTGAGCTGGAGGCAGGTAATTTGAAGTGCGCTAACCAGATGCGGACCACTAAAACGTGATTTTATTTCTAAATAGGCCCTGCCTTGGCACAAAAGCAACACTACGAGGTTTCTGGACTGCCATTTCAACAATCAACGTGGGCTTAATAGTTGCCTTTAGTGTCCCTTTAAACTCCTCTTTAAGATGCTTTCGCTCCCTCTCTATCAGTAACGCGTGCTATCACAATTTTGCACCAACATGATAGAGTGCTTTCAAGGTGATCAGTAGCTCAGTATGTTCAATAAAATTCATGTTTTGCCTTACTGCCACCACTATATAACCAACCAGCATCAATAAACAAGTGAATACGTAGACACTCAATAACAAAGCTAATGATGTATTACGTGCTGTGGGAATTGAGGCTAGCCCGCTGACTTTGCGCGGGCTTTGCTGCCTTTTCTGCCACTCTCACGTCCCGACATGTCTCCCCACCTTTGCTGTCTGCCGCCCTGGGAGAGCGGAGTGACGTTTAACCCCCTCACCCGGTAGCGGATGTTGACTGTGGCGCCGCGCGTGGAATCTCTCGAGAGGTTTTTCGCGCGCTGCTGTCGGGAGCGGGCAGATAGATACTCTCCGGGACTGCAGACGGTGAGCCACGCAATCTTTTCTGTCCGTCGACTCCCGTCGCTCGGGGGCTCGTCGAACTTCGCTGACGGAGCCTCGCGCCCGAGGCGAACGCTCACCTTTTGTTGACCCACTGCAGTACGCACGGCCAAAGGGTGGTACGGTGTCCTAGTGCGTGGCCTAGCTACGCCGACCAAGGCCCGGTTGCTCGAGCGAGGGCAAAGGAGCTCGTGTTGGCCTCGGAGGGAGACGGGTCATCTCCCTCCGAGGCCAACGCGAGCTCTTTTGCCCTCGCTCGAGCAACCGGGCCTTGGTCCCCGTGCCTCCGTGGGTGCCACCTTTACCACGAAGACGTGCTCATGGCACCCTGTGTAGTACTTTTATGCCCGTGGCATAGATAAGCCTATTTGCTTTCCCACCGCGCCTTTGCAACGGGCTGTACTGCGTTTGGTGTTGCCACAATAAAGTGTTGCGACTTTGAGCAGTATCGTGTTCTCGCCACGGCGACGGTTAACGAGTGCCCTGCGGCTCGCTAAGACCGGACCCACGCTAGTGGCCGTACTCCTTCGGGATACGTGTACACTACACTGGCGCCCAACGTGGGGCTCGAACCCACGACCCTGAGATTAAGAGTCTCATGCTCTACCGACTGAGTTAGCAGGGCGGGGTCGACTTCTTTACGAGAAAAGGCCGTAAAGAAGCTAACCTTTACTGAGGCTAGACAGTAAACTGAGGGCCTTCGGTTGCGGAGAAGTCCGCCGTCCGGCGCGAAATCACAAAGGTGACCGCTTCCTCAGATTATACCGGTGCTAGGTCTGAATGCAGTCCGCCGCCCCGGGTGTGCCTTGTTGCTTGCAAGAAAGTGCCGCAGGGCGCTGGCGAGAGCTCGTCAGAACGTGAGACAAAGGGTCTCAGGTCTGCGATATGGGCACGGCTGAGTTTTCTCGTATGGGGATCTTTCGGCAAGTACGCGAGTGGAGTGCAAGCTTTCTTCACTCGGTACGGACCAAGCCACTTAGGAGCGAGCGAGGTTGAGAACCCTTACTGGCGACGCTAAGAGCGTGGTTACGCTTCAGGACAAGATCGCCCACCTCAAAATCTAGGTTGCGATGCTTGCGGTCATATTGGGCCTTCTGCTGAGCCCTGGCCGATGCCAAACTTTCCCTTGCTTTGCAGAAAGCTCGACAAAGCCTGTCCCGAAGTGTTGACGCGTAAGCAGAGCAGTCTGCCGGCGCCTCCTCGTCCTCGAGTTCGCATTGAGTGACGCTGGTCACCGGATTTGCCAACTCCCTTCCAAAACTTAAGAAGGCGGGCGAGAAACCAGTTGAGCGACTCTCGGATGTTCGAATAGCGAACGCGAGCTCACTCAAATGGTCTGCCCAGCCCCTTTGATTTTCGGCAAAGGCCGCCAACATCGGTTTGAGCGTACGATTGACGCGCTCCGTCAAATTGGACTGGGTATGGTAGGGTGAAGTGGTGCAGTGATCAATTCCGAGGGAACGGCACGTGACACCGAACACCCGAGCGGTGAAATACGAAGCATTGTCCAAGATGAGCCTTTCCGGGAAGCCGAGTTGGCAAAACAATTCGTGCAGCTTCTCAAACACCGCTCGCGCTGTCATCTTCCGAAGTGGGAAAAGTTCCACCCATTTCGAAAAGTGATCAATGACTACCATCAGGTGAATGAACCCCTGCTTACTTCTGGGAAATGGTCCCATTAGATCGCAGGTGGCCACTTGCCATGGACGCTCACTGACAATCGGTTTCATTCAGACCGGGCAGTTTGCCCGGTGCTGCAAGAGTGCTCCGGGCCGCCGGTTCCACACTGTCTCACACAGTAGGGCCTCGTCTATATACCCCTTCTCGTGACCCGGACGACGACATCCCACGGGAAGGCCTCCTTCGGCATCGTCTTCCGCATGAAGATGCATGAAGGGGGGCAACTTTCTGCCGTCGGCCGTACAAGAAAGCATAACGGTGAAGCGCGAATGCTCGCTTCCGGTCGACAAAAGCTTCACCTCTTTTGCCCCGCGTTCGCAAACAGTCATGGACGACAGCATGTCGAACCACACTGGTGTTTCACCGGCGTTGCTGATCTGGCCTAGCATGTAGCCATGCTGCCGCCGGAGGCGTGTTCACGTAGATTTAAAACTCTTTCAATTAGTTCTCGTACGCCTCTGGCAGCTTCTGGCATATCGACGTGCGCCGTCGAAGGGCAAATCCCTTGCGTCGCATGAAGCGACGGACCCAATAAATTGATCCCTTGAAGTCTTTCTTTGATGGACCGGCTTCCCTGGCGAGCTCGACGACTTTTGATCGAATGAGCTCCGCATTCACCGGCCGAGATCTGGCACGATACTCGCGGACGAAATCCGCCACTTTGTCTTCGAGTTCCGGGTGCATAGCTCTGCGACCGCTAAACGACGTCTTCCTTGCGTTACACACCGACAGTTAGGATTTTTGGTTGCGCCAGTACCTGATGCTTTTCTCAGACACTCCAAACTGCCGCTGTGCCGCCATGTTGCCATTCGCCTCCACGAATTCAATAACTTTTCTTTTAAACGCGGTGGTCAACTGGCGCCGCGTCCCCGTATTCATGGCTAGTCACAGAGTAACGTCGACACTCGCTACGAACCACCTTTGCTACGAACACTAAATCAACAAGAAAAGAGAAATGGCGTCGGCCCAAAGAGGCGATGTCGATGCTAATGCCGAAAAAGCATGTGACACTTCTTGTTGCCAGACGATCACTTGGTTTATGCCAAGGGCCGGTATATAGGATGAGGGGTGACTTTTCATTGACATTTTTTGGAAAAAATCTCGACCTATATTCCGCACTATACGGTAGTAGTCGTCATAGTAGTACGTAGCCACCTCCACGGTCGGACTAGAGGAGCGGCACCCGCGCACTCTTTAGAATTGAGGAGGAAAGCCGCGCACGTTAATCATAAATAAAAAAATTGCTGTTTCTGATGAAATATCTTACAAAGACAAATATCGGTGACTTAATCTACAATAAAATTTGCCTTGAATGCGATGCTTACTAAAAAAAAAACAGTAAGAGAAGGGCGCACTTTGAGTACTATCTGACCAGAAAAGGTTGCATCGTTAAACTCTCTGGGCATAACTTTCTTTGTTTTAGCAAGATTTATCGAGGGTTGGGCCGCAGTGCCATGAATTAGCGGCGTTGAAAGGTGGGAACTAGGCACGAAGCACAGGCCATAAGAGAGTGCATGCATGCCGCTCCTCTAGTCCGGTTGTACCACCTCTCGTTTAGTCCTAGGAATGTATGCTGAATGGCGGTACTTCTATATGATGAAAATATGCGAAATGGCAGGGCTTGGAGTGTTCACTAGACGCACGGACGGACGGACAGACAGACAGATGCAGGGATGGACACACGGACGGATGGATGGACGCAGAGAACGCAGAGACGAATGCATGGACGGACGGGCTCACGGACGGACACGCGGTCAGACAGATGCGCGGATGGACGGGCGGACACATAGAAGGACAGACAGACAGGCAGACAGACAGATGCACGGACGCACAAACGTGTAGATGGACAGACGCACGGACGGATACCTGTTCGGTCAGAGGGCCGCAGGGTAGAACGCAGGGACGGCCGCTCGAGTGAATGGATGCACGGATGGACTGATGGATGCTTCGCCCCACTCATCATCATGCACTCCGTGAATATGCTGTGATTTTTTTCGTAATCATGGAGGAGTAAACTTGCGTCCCAGTCACATTCCACTTTAGTTGAGTCATGTGGCTGTCTCTTGGTCATGTTTTGCACACATAGAGCCTTTTAAAAACGTTTTGGTTATAGTGCTGTACCGTTTATAATGCAAATGTTCGTGACTCTGGCGACTTAAGTTGTAAGCAGTCTCTGCTGCATAACATTGCTGCTCCCCTGAGAAACAATAAACATCACAATGACAGTTGGTACAATGCCCTTAGTCATATTTACAAGAACTTCTGATAATTCAAACAAAATTGCGAGATCTTATTGAGTTCAAATAATAGAACCTTCTGTAATTAAGCTGGACTGGGTCAATGTGTCCTCTCTGTTCGATGCCAAACTTGGCCCACTGCTGTTTGTGAAGCGGTTAAACTTGGCATAAGGCACGGAAATTCTCTCAGAAGGCTGTGGTTATTAATTTCATCTATTTCCCCGGCAGTCAAACCTGGCCTTGGAAGAAGACCTTCTTCTCGTGGATGATGAAGAGGAGGAAGACAGCGAAGCGCGCTCCTGGCGACGATGATGCCTTCACCTGTCATCTTTCTTTTTTTTTATTATTGTTATTATGTTGAATCGTGACGCTTATTGTCAAATTTCTTGCACGCTCCATTTATAATGTATTTCTGTACATATTGTGCCCTGTTGCCTGTATGTCGCCATTTTTTTCTTTATTACAATCTTGTGCATAAAAAATGTACTACACCCAGTCATGCCACAACACAACATGGTGAAAGCAGAGCTTTGTTTCTTAATTTTTTTTTTCGTTGACTCGCATGTTTGCATGCGTTGGTAGCTTCGAAGTCTGTTTTTCCTCCCATTTGTAGTTGTTGATGCCTTTCTTTTTTATTCATCTTTAGTTGCCTTCGTTCTCACATGGTATTCAGAGAGCCATCTTTGGCTTCCTTTGTAGCTCTCAGCATGTTCTGTAGGCCAGCTCCAAGCCTGGCACTCATGGCATCCTAGTTGTAGTCGGAGGAAAGGTTTACTGTGGATCTGGTTTTAGGGTTATCACACCTTCACGCAACATTATACCCTCAAATTATCTCTCGTCTGCTCTGAAATTTATTTCAGTTTGTGCGCCTATGTTTGAAGCAGTCTTCTTCTATACAAGTTTATAACTTGGTTTCAGAGCATTAGGACTCATTTTCATGCTAGTCGGCCTTTCGCCATTTTGTTGTTACAGAAGGCAGTGACGATGTTTGATTAGGTCAGCTAGTGCAGCAGCTCTTGCATGGTGGTTACCTTTGCAATTGCAGTTTTTTTTTTTTTTTCTGAGTCTGCATTCAGTGTATTTGAGTGACAGCTTTCGCTCTGCTGTTGATATGAATTCCTCTAATCGTGGTCATTCTTTTTCTTTTTTGACCTCCCGTGCTCCTTACACCGAACTATTGTGTTTTCTTGCTTGGCAAGGTGTGTAAATAGTTTTACTTTTTTTTCCCCGCGAAATAAAACTTGTGAACAGTATGCAACATGTTACGCATGCAAAAGACACACGGTGTGCAAGGTATGGATCTTGCAACTGCAAAAGAGGCAAAAAAAAAAAATGAAGTGATGAAGAAAAAAAGAGAGAGAGAGAGAAAAGTGGAATAACCAAATTTGTCACATTTTTGCCAGTTTTTTATGGGTCCACACAGGAGAGAAAAAAAAAGAAAAAAAAAGAAAACAAAAGAATTGTTGCGGCAGACTCTCTTTGATACACTTTACTCCATCCGTACCCTCAAAACATTTACCAAGTACCAAGATCGAAGACTAAGAGAGACAGAAGATGAAAAAAACAAGACAAAGCCATAAGATGGATTGATGTGGTTTGAAGATGCGATTGACAGCTGGGTATCGTAAGTATAGGGCACTTGAAAAGCACACACAAACTAATTTTTTGTGCTTTGTGTTTCAGGGTGTTATGGCATCTTATGGAAGTTGCACTGCAGAGCCTTTTAGTGATATATGGTAAGTGTCAATTCTTATTTTTTCTGTTCGAATTAATGTTAACATAATAACGTTTGTTGTAGCAGGCATGAAACAGTTGTGCCATTTGCATCATTTTGTGGCAAACTTATTAACCTGCGCCATCCTGCGTTGAACCACCCATTCTGCGCCAAACTCGCTTATCAGTGCCGTACTGCGCTGCAGCACTCGAATTTAGCCGCAAGGTACGAAAGCCATCAAGCTTCGTGCACAGTAGTGTATTTAAGAACCAATGTCTTTTCGGTATCATCAAAACGGTTTTGGTTTCAGTTTCGTAAAGGCTGTGATCATCGCTCCAGCATTAGCCGTGAACTTTGTAAAGATGCGGTCGCGATCACTATGGGCGTGCACCATCATGGCAGGCGTCAGCATAAATGGCTCGAGAACACTTCTACGTGTTCTTCTATACTTGCAAATAATCCACGCAGATTCTGGCGCTTTGTTAACCCCAAATGTTATCCTGATATAGTCCTAAGCAATAACGATGGTGTTTCAGTTCCCACATCTCAATGCGCAGATGTCTTAAACCAGGCGTTTTCCTCAGTTTTTACCAGAGAAGACGTTTCATCCACTCCCATATTGCATAGTTTCAGCAGCACAGTCATGCCGGAGATTGTTATCAGTGAGGCCGGTGTTCTGTCCCTTTTACAGAAACTAAAAATTTCTTCCACCTTGGATAATATAGGCTTAAATAATAAAATCCTGAAATCTATATCATTCAGTATCACCCCCTTCTTATGCGCTCTGTTTTCACAGTCTTTGTCTACCGGAACTCTACCCCAAGATTGGCTATCAGCTAAAGTCGCCCCCCTTTTCAAATCAGGTGAACGTTCCTCACCGCTAAATTACAGGCCCGTTTCCTTAACTAGTACCATTGGCAAACTCATGGAGCATATCATACACACTCAAGTAATGAACTATCTCGAACGTCACAATATCATTTTCAATTTTCAGCACGGTTTTCGCAAGGGATTTTCATGCGACACCCAACTTGCCGGTTTTGTTCACGACCTTCATAAATCCATGGACGCTGGTTGCCAGGTCGACGTCATTTTCTTAGATTTCGCTAAAGCTTTTGACCGCATTCCTCACCACAGGTTACTACTAAAGCTAGAACAACTTAACATTCACCCTATAGTTCTTGCATGGATAAAAGCTTTTCTTTCCTCCAGGTCTCAATTCACCTTTGCTATGAATTTTTATTTTTCCTCTTTACCGGTAACATCTGGTGTACCCCAAGGCAGTGTTCTTGGTCCTCTACTCTTCCTCGTTTACATTAATGATCTACCGAATTCTTTATCTTCACACGTTCGACTTTTCACGGACGAATGCGTAATATACCGTAACATTTCTTCTGATTCTGACCGCTTAGCTTTGCAATCTGACCTTAACAAAATTAACCATTGGTGTTCAACTTGGCTTATGTCGTTAAATGTTTCTAAAACAAAGTGCATGTCCTTTACTAACGCTGCTACATGTTTTCCTAGTCAATACTCGTTGAATAATATGACACTTGAGTTAACATCTACTTACAAGTACCTCGGTCTCCACTTTCAATCGAATATATCTTGGCACCATCATATAGAAGTCACTCTTGCAGCTGCTAACCGGTCTCTCGGGTTACTGAAACGAAATCTTAAACAGGCTCCATTGCAGTTAAAAAAACTTGCTTTTACCAGTTTAATTCGCCTTAAAATAGAATATGCCAGTGCCATTTGGGATCCTCATCAACCCTACATCGTATCAAATATTGAATCTTTGCAAAACCGAGCTGCTCGTTTCATTTACTCAGATTATTCTACCTATTCCAGCGTAACTAACTTAAAAAACCGTGCTGAGCTAGAGGATTTGGCCATTCATCGGAAATATGCACGCTTATCGCTTTTCCACAAACTTTACAATCACCCATCATTACATGACAGTTTCTTTGAACCCGCCTGTTCCATCTTTCCCCGCCGTGATCATCCTAACAAAGTCAAACGCCCGCTATCTTGCACACTTCGTTTCGTTCAGTCATTCATCCCGCGCACTATTATCGAGTGGAACAGTTTGCCTGCACATATCGCCACCGAGAAAGACTCGGTAAAGTTTTCAGAGCTCATGCGCACTACGGTGACGAACTAAATATTTTTTTTTTTGCTTTTGTTGTTTTGTTTTCTTTCGTTTTTTAACTATTGTATAACGCCATGCAATTGCTGCCCGTATTCATGGTTTGCGCTTTGTTGCGGTTGTCAGGTTGCACTGTATCTTGCTGTAAACCATGTTGTATTGGCCCCCCCCTATGTAATACCCTCTTCTAGAGGGCCTTTAGGGGTAACCTGAATGAATGAATGAACGTGCTATGCTCTCAACACGAAGAGACTGCAAAAAGAGCATTTCTCCTTGGCCTGGCCATATTCTCTAACGCCAATGTTTTGTGAAGTAGTGCGATAGCGAATCTAGAAGAGTTTGCTGTCAGACTTACAATTTATTGCTATCGCATTTATTGCTTCGTGCTTACTGTGAAACAGTTTTTTTTTTAACTCGATGGCAGCGTTCGGAAAAGAAAAAAAAGGATGACATGCAGTAACTGCGCTCAAAACAAGCGGGGGTGGTGTGTGGTCCCTTAAAGACATTATCATTCTTCATTGTGAGGTATGAAAAACAAATCCTCAGCTCGCATATTAAGTCTATAAAGACAGCTGCACAGGACCGTTCATTGAGCTTATGTGTGTATCTTCATTCATTTGCCTCTGTGCTCCATTATACGGTGCTTATCGACCTGGCAGTTGACGCTTGTGTGTTTAGGTTTAAAAAAATGGACGGTTGTTCATAGCTAAAAAATCACAGTTCCACCACAAGGGCAAAGCAATAAATGTGATAGCAAGAAATTGTAATGTGGTACGAAGTGAGGCTGGCAGCTACTTCTTTTGAATCCGATCTCATGTAACTCATGCTGGCGTACGAGAACATGGCCACTTCAGGGAGAGCAACACTTTTCGCACATTCTCTTTGCTATGAGAGCAATAAGAGTGCAGCACGTTGTGCACGGGAGCAGCCCTCTGATGGCTGCCGAGCTAGCCGCGTGCGCCAGAAATCACAACTATGTCCTTAGAAGCAATGTTCTCAGTTGTTGCTCAAGCGACACGCAACCCCCACCCCACCTCTCTTCCCTTCGTGCTCTTTCAAAACGGGCGCAGTGCTTCCTCTCTACTTCAACTACAGGCTTTTCGGGCAGGGGTATGTTATCGCATGGTCCCTCCTGGCGACAAAGATGGGCTGGATCGTTCAATCTTTGCTTCAGCCGAGCTCATTGCCCTCCCTTGCGTGCTTTTACCCACGTATGGAACATGCAATGCGCGGGCGTATGCTATCCATTCGGACATCATACGGGACGGCAAAAATCCACAGAGTTTCTATATAGTTTCTATCGTGATAATAGGGCTGTTGCACAATTTAGGTGTGTGTTTCAAAAATGCAGCGTTGGACGAACGTTGCTGTACAAGCTCTGCGTAACGGGGCTACATCTGCTCTGAATATTCCAACTGCTCCGAACTTACTCAAAAAGGCCGCTACAAAAGGCACTTTTGCCTGCTCCCATGGCTGCTCTGAAACCCATTTACTCTGTTCCACCCCAGTAGTAGTGATGCGAATTTTGTTTGTGTGGGATTCACTTTCTCATACAAATGGATAGTGGGAAAGTTATTTACAAGTAGAATGCATTCTTTTGATTTACATTCTTTCCATATCATGTGCTGTTATTGGAATATTGGCTTGTACAGTTAGTTTCTAGCTAACAATATCTGCCGACCTAACATGTAGCAACATAATATTGCTGTCTTAAATGGTTACTTTTAATAAGTGCTTTAGTTTATACATTCCCACTTATGTTTCAACCTGACAGTCCTATAAGAAATACATCTGCTATCATCAACCAAGCATACTGTGTTCAGACATTTGTTTGGGCTAATGGTTACAAAAACTGCATCCATGTTGGGAGTACATTTGAACAAATGACCACAAGTGTTGACCACATTTTCCAAATTTCCATGGGAATGTCAGCACAGGCAAACGCAGTTCAGTTTGTACGACCTGCATTTGGATATTTGTTGTTTGTGCCAACTGTGAATGTGTCCTCTAGGATTATGATGGAGATGATAAAAGGCTGTTGCGGTAATCCCCACTGCTAATAGAAGGGTGCAAGCGAATTCTGGGGCCTGTATTCTGTAGTATAAGCAGAATAGTTAAATCTTGCTTTGCAAAACTCTAAACACTCGTCTCATCTTTCCTTCACGTTCCCTTGAATCTAAGCACTGTTCTGGCTGGAGTCAGAGCACTTATACTGCTCCAATCCTGTATCCGTCATTGTTGGGAGAGCACCAAATGTGAAAATGTGCACTCTACCTCCTACAATAAAAATGAGCAATACACCATGCGCGGACATAGCATCACGAACATGCATGAGAAGCATGTTTACTGACATCCAAGTCTCCAAACATCTGGTGTTCCATGAAGCAAAGTATACTTGCAGACAACAGGGACATTAAAGTTAAATAAATTAGCTTGGACTGATATATTGTACTTTGAAAACTTAGTGTCATTTATTTCATCACCATACATAATATTAGTAGATGAACAAATAATTATCCAGTGCTTAACTTAAGCACTCCGAGGGTCAACTCGTAGATTTCGACGCAATTTTTGGCATTTTGGCCGCAGTGGCT